TCTGGGGAGGTAAAGGCCTCCCGCCACGCTCCGTGGCAAACTTATGGGCCGTAGGTGCAACGACCGGCGCCGGCAAAGACCTGGGTCTGCCGAGCCAGCCTACCGTGCTGCCACAGCACTAAAAAGTATAACTCACCAGTAGATTTAGGATCCCCGGGGGTTAAGTCTCCAGTTTGTATACTTACCAGCTTGATTTTTGATTTGGAAGTGGATGTGGTTGCTCGTTGTGTTACAACTCTTTCGTTGTGTTAGTTACAAGTTGTCTTGTGTGCTACATATTCCATATCCTCCATGGAATTTCCGATTCACCCAGTGTTAGTGTCATTTATCCACTATCCTACTTTCAGAACTCCTCATTGCCCGAAAAGCGCAACTAGCCCAAAAAGATTGGAGAGCCAATGAGCAGGAAATCGAGTCAGCAAAGGGCTGGCCACTAATGTGCACGCATGAGAATAACACGCCACCAAACGAGGCTGCTGACCCAGTCCCTGTAGGCTTCAAACGATTCGCACGATTTGATAATAAAGGTACTTTATTTGTTCTTTATTGTATGATGTGAAACGATTCGCGCGGTTTGATAATCAAGGTACTTTTGTTTATTGCGTTCCGAACAGGTAAATGAACAATGAATGAACAATGTTGAATGTCGAGGTTGACCTTACAACTAGTTATGCATACAGCCGTGGTTCTAATACTCTCTCTCAGAAACTTACGCGGACGTGAGAAAGTATCGGCATCGGGAGGTATTTGAAGGCAAGCCAATCACGCAAGAGGCAATGCAGTTACGACATATCAGGAGAAATGAGGCAGTGTTGCAAGCAGTAAATGCCAATGGACACAAGGGGGTTGGAAACTAGTGGTGAAAATGAAGAATAGCCGTACCGTAGATTCATAATCTTGTAGTTGTTCGATGGGATACTCAAGTATACCTGATGTTCTCCATAGAAAATGAAAGACGATCTCGACTGCCATATTATCGTAATTGAGAATGGAACCTACATCAAATTCAAAATCCCAAACGATGGCTGGAGCTTCACGAAAACACGTACTATACCTTTTGGTCTCCATAGCAAAATAAAAATGCTTCTACAAGAAAGCTTTCACCTGGAGGCTCTTCTGGGTGCATCATGGTAACTAATCACATCTCCATAACTGATCTACATTGGTGCGAAGACATCGAAGAAGAAGACATTCAAAAACTCATGAAGGACTTCTTGTGTTAAGGGTAGGTTAAAGGTGCTTTTGTTACCGTTTGTTATGGCTCTCCTAAGGGGGACATCCATAACAAGCGGGATAAACGAACACCAAAAACCTACCTCTCATTGTGCTGTCCACACGCAGTGCTACATGGAATGTGGGAAGTGAGCTGGATTTTGGACCATGTTGGAGTACTTCGCAAGCTACATACTTCTAGTTCTAGTTGTTTTCTTCTGCACATGCGCTTGGAAATTTTCTCGTTGTATATATTTAAGTAGATCATGTTGTGGTTTGTGTTTCAAACTGCATTGATGTCAGTCAGTGGTCTGTCTGATGATAAGAGAAAGTAGCCTTGTCCGACTATGATGATGATCCTGATGATTGTCCGACGAAGCAAAAACGTGCGTCCACGAAAATCAAGGACAAGCTAAAGATGATCGCGCCCACGAAAATCAAGAACAAGCTAAAAAAGATGATGATCGCCTCGTACCCTAGAATATGATCGAAGTTGAAACTTTAACTAGCGTAGTTTCATCAGATAGGGCCTCTAACTCTAACTCAGGAGAGATATCTAGCTCTGCCCTGAACAAAGATGATTATCATGTTTCGACTTCTTGTACCTTATTGACTTTGAAAAATTGCAAACAATTGACCTGAAAAAAAAACTGATGAAAAATGAAAAATATACGTGTTTCAGAACAGGAGCTTGTTTGTTGATGAAGCTGGAGTAACGTAACTTCTGTCGAGGCTGAAGACAGGACTCAAAAGCATCTACGAATAATGTAATGACTCAGCTACGCATAGTGTAGAAGTGACTTCTGGCCTACGAATAATGTAATGACGTATCTACAAACATAACGTAATGGCTCGTCATTCAATGGTCGCGTGTAATTTACTTCTTCGATGAAGCCATATTGATCAAGTGAGAGATAAGTATTACCTGTTACTCGTCTTATAAGCCATATGTTCGTCCTCGTTTTTTTGAAAACTGAAATAGTAGCGATTCGGTATCCGATTTCTGCTATACTTTCGGCGCTACAGTACTCGGCGGCCTCAGCAGTAGACGAAAATAGCTGCATACGAGGCGCCATGCCATAACATGACATGAGCCCACCCTTCATTCTGATAACTACGATACGACTCGTATTCCACTACTAGCCAGTTTATTTGACAGACATTAATTGTTCTGCTCCGATATCTCGTTTAACGTGAAAGATTGAAATACTAAAGCAGGTAAATAACGTAGACGACTACTGGACGTAGTCCCTCATTCCTCCTCATTAGATGTTGATTAAGATAAGTCTTGGCGTTCAACATCCCACTTAATATTGATTGACCTTTCATCGATGAGTAATTCGTTCGGTATCCATCGTCTCTTTTTTTGTCTAAGTTCTACCTGATTTGCCTTGGTCTACTTTATTAACAAAAGAGTCTTTATTTTAAGCATACAAATATCTTCCGCGACCGCGATGAAAGGAAAAATGGGAGAAAATATCCCTAGATGTGCTAGCACGAACAAGAGGAGCTGCGAGACTCTCGAAAGTCCAGACCATGGGAATAAAAGACAGCGGATGACATTGGATTTTGCCGGCTCGTCTCCGTCTTCGGCTTCGTCCTCCTCCTCGTCATCAACCACTCAACGGCCTACGAGACTAGATCTCAGCGAGGAAGAATTCGCACAATGCGAAAAATTTCTGGACGACCTGGAGCATGGAGAAAGTGAGGAGAAGCACCGCGAAAAGCTGGCACGCTTCTGCGAGTACATGGAATCCCAAATCCTGCCCAGCATCCAGTTTCCTGAGCGGACTCGCAATGGCATTTACACGGACGAAGCCGTCCTTCATTTTGGATGTCATTGGCAGACTGGAGTGTACAGATAAGGCTTGCCCTAATCCATCTTCTGGAGCTTCCTGCGGAGGCTTTTCAAGGAGAAAAGGGGAGCAGGATGCTTTTTCAGATGGCTTAGGGTAGGCTCTAATACAAGGATGGAACGGAGAAACGCGCTGATCGCCTATGCCGGACCCTCGCTCGCTTTACGACCCACGGGCTAACCCGAATAGAAGCTTCGCGGGCGAGCAGTTCGACTAGTACATCAGCCAGTAGTGCTAGCAGTCCATCGACTAGTAGCACTAGTAGCACATCGATTAGCGCAAGTACGTCTCTGCCCAGCAGGTTTAATGAGCTTCAACTTCTCAAGAATGTCAGCTGTGGGCTGCACACAGACAATCCCGTGGCCCACCGAAATGAGCGGCCCGTCTTTCCAAATTATTCCTTCGGATTTGGCTCCTATGAAGGTGGTGAACTGTTCATTTACGACCCTAAGGGAAAGCGGGACTGGACTGTGCCTGAGGGCATGGCTTTGGATCTTAAGGGTTCAGGCGATAACAACTCCAACCAGAAGATCATGCACAGCTACCAGGCAGGAGACAAGATCCCAGGAAAATACCACGAGACTCGGCATCGTTGGAGTGAGTTTCTAGGGGTCAAGCTTCCGCACGCGACGTGTCCATGGAAGAACGGAGACCGCTATCTTTTGGCAGCCTACTGGAATTAAGGGCATTGGAATGCGAAGTACCTCCCTAAATAGCAAAATCATTTGAAGAGAGCAGAAGAAGGCAACAAAAATAATCAAGGACAAATATGAAAATCTGGCAGGAGATGCGCTAGGATTATTTACAGTGGATTTGCAAGCCTATATGTATATACTGTAACAGTACAGCTTAGTATCTATTAGCTCATCTCCTTTTTTCTCCTGTTTGTATTTCCAGGCAGGCTCATCTTCCCAATTCTTAGTTTTTATATTGGATGTTGAACAAGGTCTGACACTGAGGCGCTTTTCTTAGGAGTGGCACCCCTCTAATAGAAGGACAAGGACTTCATCTCCGATGAGATCCGCGAGAAAAGTCTGCAGTTTTGGAAGTCGCGCAACTTTCTTCTTCCGCCCGCAATTTCGTCTGCCAGCTGCTCATCCTCTTCTTTAGACTTGGAGGGCTTGCGTGTCTGTAATAGAGAGCAGAGCTCGGCGGGGACGAGAACTCGGAAAGCGGAGCCTGAACAGGAGACCATGCCGGAGGCGGAGCAAAGTCGACTCCGCGAGATCGCCAGCGAGGAGATGGAGCAGCACAAGAAGGAGCTGCGTAGCAAAGCGCTGGAGCCGATAAAGCGTGAGGAAGATAGGGAGACTTGCGAGCGACTCAATTTGCGGTGGTACCAGGTGGAGGCCCTCAGCGCGGCGCTACAGCGCACGGAGGAGCATTACGAGGACCAGAGCAAGAAGAGCACCCACCTACGCTCGCTTTTTCACGTTTTCTGTGGCTTGGGTAAGACGCGGCTTTTTTGTGCTCGGATTCTCAGCGTGAGTGCTCAATTTATTAAGGGTATTCAAGTTACATCCTCTACTAGCTACCATCCTTGACCTCTTTCTTAGTAGGAAAAAGGCTAAGGGTGACGCTCTGAAGAGTGTAATTGTGCAGCCTCTAAATTTTCGCTCATTGTAGTTCCAAGTCTAGAACTCATCCGCCAGTTTCGGAGCGAGCAAATCCTGCACCCTCAGGGTGACCTCTTTGCAAACAGAAGCGAGTGGTTCAAAGATTTCGACTTCGTAGCGATCTGTTCCGAGCAATCTGAACACGCCGAAGAGCTGGAGAAAAAAGGGGTTCGACAGTTCTCTGCCTCAAATGCGAGCGGTATCAAGGAATTTTTCGACAAGAGGAACGAGTCTGATTTTGATATGGCTTCTGGAAAGAAACAGCCATACTTACTGGCGCTTCCTGTAATCTTCATAGTAATACGTATATTCATGATTATCAAACATAAACTGAGGCGCGACATATAAAGACTCTACTCGAAGAGATCCCATTTTGTGCTCCAGGAGAGTACTACTCGGCCTGGAAAAGTTCATACATTATTTTTACACCGGGAGGATTCATCCACTTCCACCGTAAACTAATAGTGCGCTGACTACTGAGTGCTTAGAGACCCATGGCCTGGCGTGGTGCATGGAGTACAGACACAACATAGGGCAGCGCCTCTTTCGCTCTAATTCTACCAAGAAGGTCGTCGCCATTGTGACGATAGACTCCAGAAGGGAGCTCCTAAAGCGGTTGCGTGAAAACAGAGTGACGATCGGCCTCGAGATAGTGGACGAGGCCCACCTGTACGTGGGCAAAGCCTTTGGTCCCGAGATTTATGGGACCAAGTACGACGACCTCCTGTCACTGCGGGAGTTCTACACCGCGACACGGCGGTCGAGGCAGTCCTATCTCATGCATGAAGAGCACTCGTATGATGATAGCGGGAAGCTAATGGTCAGGCACGGCGTCGCGGGGCCTGTAGTATACAGCATGTCTTATCAGAAAGCTTTGCTCTATCGGGATTCCCGAGCGGTAGACTTCGTGCTGCCATTCACCACAGGCACAGAAGCAGTGGCAGCCGCAGGCCCTTCGTCATGCTTAGCCAGTTCGAACGAAGACGCGACAGCACTAGAAATCCGCGCGGCATACAGAAACATCATCGGCGTCATTCTGAGTAACGCGGCAACGGCTGAATACTGCAACGGTGTAGTTTTTTGTGACTATGTCAGCGATGGTTCGGACGTGAAGAAAAACAGCGGCGAAGAGTCTTCAAGCGGCGAAGGCGTCGACGAGGACGAGAAGGGGGCCTCCCCGTCGAAGAAAAACGCTGTGAAGAATGTGCTATGCGTAAACAACTTTGCGGACGTCGATCCTAAGGGCGACATCTTCTTGGAGGAATTTCGCAGGGAGTTGAACTTGCGGAAGGAAGTGGATCCTGACTTTGAGAAGCAAAGTGCGTACGCAAAGCTCACGCTGGGCGACATCGAGTTGCATCACATTACAGGCAAATCTGCTCCAGTGACGCGAAAAAACGCAAAAGACACATTCAAGAGTGACGCGCTTCCTACTAGTCGTGGTAAGATACGACTAGTCTTCAACTACCAAATTTATAGGGAAGGCGTGGACTCGGTAACTGCAAACCTCGTCGCTTTCTTGAAGCCGGTCAAATCTTGGACGCGGTTCGTCCAAGGTGTGGGGCGTGTGGCGCGGCTTATCCGATTATTATCATTCGGGGGCGAGAGTGTCAATGCGTATGGCAGGTTTTGTTTTCCCTTTTGCGTGCTAGAGTGTATATTTGAGTTTGAAACTAGGCAGATTGACGCTCCACCTTCTAGATATGTGCCGCATCTAGACGGAGTTCCAATCTTACTCATTTCTCACATTCCATCCATTGTTAAAAGCGGGAAGAAAACAAGGACACAGTGGTCGCGTGAGTATTTTCATCGTCTTGATCATCGTCTTGCCTTTTTCATAGAAAGGAGAGAATGCCGAAGATGCTCGATCGCAGTGTTGTAATGTTACCACCTTGCGGGCTGGTTCTGGACAAGAAAATGATTGATGCAGCAGACGAGGAAATAGAAGCCGACGATAAAAAAGGCAACAGCCGCGCGCATATGCTCCTCGACAAGAAGATTTCTGCTACTCTCTCCGGTGCCAGGTACAAGGCTATGCTCCGCCACGTCGGTTTGCTTCAGTATGGGATGGAGCCTGATCATCATAGCAGCATCAACATCAAGGAGCAGCCGGATGAGCCTCCCGTCCCCAAGTGGTGTCGTGAGCACCTGGTGCACCGGGATGAAAAAATGTCTGGATTGGAAGTCGGGCAAGCGCTTGAGCAGCTGAGAAGTAGTAAAGATGTCATCTCTCCTGGTTTGCGTAGTGCGATGCTGGTCGACGTTGACGAAGATGCTGAACAAAGAGGCCCTGCCGGTTGCGCTACCAGCGCCGCGGCTTCGCGCCCCGATCTAGAAGACCATAAGGCCACTGTCGTAGACGGGTCTTCGCAAATAGATAAAGCACTTCAGCAGCTGAAGGAAGCAACAGCTACAGCTGTAGTTGTGCATCACCAAGATGCAAGTGGTGGAAGACTACAGATAGCACCCGACGAAGCTGCAAACCGAACTCGGGCTAGCTCTCCTCACCTTCACGTCATTGTGCCAGCTGGTGCAGGAGCTGCAAGAGAGCACAAGAAGGAGCTCCATTTTGCTCGTGGTGAGGAGCTGGAGAACTACAGCTACGAAGCGGCCTCGTCTTCGAAAGATTGCCAGGCAGAGCACCTATATGTTGCGCTTTATACTAGTGATGACGGCAAAACGAAAATTGATTTCTTTAATCCGAATATGGTTGGCAGCGAATGCGAAAGCAGCACTTCTGCGGACTTCCAGGAGGGCGATCCCTGTCCATCCAACAGCGAGGGAACAGCCACTGCAGGAGACCCACTAGAGCAACCAGTTGCGGACGGCGTTGGCCGATTGATAGCGCGTAGAATACGGCCCAGCCTCTACTTCCAGTGCTCCCGGGATCTCAGAGTGAGTTCGACTGGGTCTCTCATTTGGTAGATTTCGGAACACTGTGCAATCTCTAGTGCAGCGGGAAACTTCTGCGCATGTAGGTGGACAACTACGCATGGAGAAGCTAAATCGTGGCGTCGGTGACGGTAAAAAAAAAGACCCGAATAAAAAATGGGAGGCAATTAAAGAATTCTTTGAGAAAAACAAGCGTTTCCCCGGAAGGGATGAGAGCGGGAAAACGGTGAAGAAGAGCGGCAAAACGATGGAGAACTTGCCTCGACATGATGAAAAGGAGCTGGCGGCGTACCTTACAAAAGCGCTAGTCAGAGCAGACGAAGACGCTCGGAAGACACGCCCAGACTCGTACGCGCTTCGCCTAAAGGATCGACTCAAGGAGTTCTGCGAAACAGAAGGCACCGACTTCAACTCGCTAATTGCTAAAAAATGCAGGGACACGGATAAAAGGTGGAAAGAGATTGAGACCTTCGCTGAGGACAACAGACGACTGCCTGGAAGAAATTACGGAGACAACACATCAAAGACAAAGAGGGAAAGAATGGACTTGCAAGAGCATGAAGCGACTTTGGCGAGGTACATCGATAAGGTGCCGGGGCACGTGAGCGAGGGGAAGGCCTATGCGTTCATCGTAAAAGACCGACTCAAGAAGCTATGCGAGCGCGAGCGCATTCCTTTTGCGCCGCTAGGTTTTGACCAGTCTGAGACCCAGTAGAAGCGCTGCAGGATATGCGTTGACATTTCAGACGGATACTATTCAACTACAAGACCCAAACGCTTAGAGTTGTGCTGCTCTCACTCTATTTCTTCTATATCGCTGTATGTGCAAAAAAATCGTGAATGTCTTATTCCAATCTTCTCCAATCTCCACTTCCATTATTCCACTGATTCCGGGACATCGATGCGTTAGCAGTTAATGTCACTCGTTTTGTCTGACTTGGTCTTTCTGTAGGTCTAATATCGAGCTTGTGCCTTCGTCCTTATTATCATCGCGAACAAAAATAGTAGTAGTACTCACTCTCCTTGTGGGCGTGCTATCATGGGAGTAGAGAAGCCTTATAAAAATGTCGAGACCAACATGAGTAGTCATAGGAGATGAAAGTAGCCGGATACACATAGTCGTAATGTCAAATCGAGGAACTGGATATCATTACTCCGCTTTGCTTTCCCTTATGGAGTTTTTCTCTTCACCCAAATATACCCACACAGCTATGTATCTACTTTTTCCTCTAGGTTTAATTCAGTTGTTTTTTCCTTTCCACCCACACAAGTCAACCGAAGGACAACGATCGTGAAAGCAAAGAGCGCGCTCACAAACGTTAACTTTGTCTTCTGGATCTAGATGTAGCACGAGACAAGTACTCCCATTTTCTTGGCAGTATTCGCCTTCCCCCTATGTCAGAACAATATCCTTCTACGCGTGTCAGCTCGAACGCAGTCAGATCGACAAGAGTAAGAAAAGCAGCCTTCTGGTACTCATTGCGCTTATTGAGTAAGACACCCGCTCAATCCACCGACAGCACCGGGGACAGTATCACTTTTCCAAATCTTGTGGACGGGGAAGGCTTCTGGTGCTGTCTACAACAGATGAGCAAGGATATTAGAAGTAAAAAAGCTGTTGAATCGTCGGAGATGTAGTCGGATGATGCACGTGTTAAAGGAAGCACATGACAGTGGAAGTTTTATCGGTTCTGGAGAGATTCTCAAAGACGAGTAGCAGGCTATTTATTCATGTTCTAACCAAAACCCGGAAACTTAAGGAACTGCTGTGTTATATATAATGTGCACTATGTTGATGTTCATCTTTCGGTCGATCGTAGCAGCAAACATGAAATCACTGTCGGGTAGTTTTAAAAATCAAAGAGAGCGCTCTTGAGTGGGAAGAGAAGTCTGTAATTTCACTAATGTTAGCACCCTCACCCTTACCCCCTCTTGTGCCCTTTTTTGACTTGACTTTGTTTTATTTCATCATTTTCACTTGGATGCGTATCTTCGTATTGCAGGTTCTTCTACGCGTTGCTGGGCTCTGTCTTGTTCGAAGAAAAGTATAGTTTTAGAAGTTTTACTTTCAAGTTTGCTTCGATTTTTTCCCAATTCTTTTTGCCTATTCTGGTTTCTTTCTGGTCAGTAGAACCGATCGTGTGAAGTCGTATGATCGTAATTTTCTACGTTTGTGATGTGTGAACAAGTAACTATCCTCTATACTAGCTGGTAAAATGAAAAATATTAGTAGCTGTAGCATAGATTTAGATTAAAGTAAATATGATGACATCGCCTAAAACCCCCGACTTTGCTGGCAGCACAGCTGCTGATACCGACAACATCTTCAATTTGAAGCAAGAGCCGCAGAATGTGTGGTTTTTTGGTCATATCTATCAAGGTGTGAAACGAGCCAACGCACTGGAAAAGGAACTAGAAAAGGCAGCCCTTCTAGGCAGTGAGGAGAATTAAGGGTTGGAAGTTGACATCTCTATGAGCATCTCTATGGTTTCTCCAAGTAGGAAAGCCATAGATATGCGAGCTCGAGCGGTCAACTTTCCGCTTCTAAGAGAAGAAAGACGAAGAGTTGGCACGCATTCAGAAGGAGGCACTGAAGACCAGCTGGCCGATTGCAGAATACAACAAAGCTACTTTTAGCTACGAAAATGTATCTTCAGTTTCTGCCAAAATGCTGTAGATCATGATGGTAAATGGTAGTCATCAAGTATAATCATGTTCATGTAGTTGTTGCTGTTTATCATTATCTTTCAGAAGTAGTTGAGACGTGCTATCTATCACCCCGCGGCCTAGCAGACCTCGTCTCTTCCTCAGGTCTACCGACAACGATATCCGGAGACGATCAGCCACGCGGATTATGTCGCACTACAAGACTGCAAAAAGGAACTCACCCAAAAGGAAGAAGACAAATCGTTAAAAGTTATGCAATCTCGTTTTATTGGTCTTGGGTGTCACTGCAAGGCCACTGCACTGGTTTCACTAGTTTTATGTAATATCCAACACACCGCAATATAATATGAACACGTTGAGCAGGTCGGGTCCAACTAAACATGACCAGACATATGAATAACTAGTCGTGTAATATTAGCCACAGCACCAACCAAATAAATGATCCACTACAAGAAGTCACGGCCGCGTTCGTCTACGTCTTCTAAACAACCAAAATTAGCTTCAATTCGCAAACGATATTCGGTGGGGAGACGATTATGGAGCATTTGGGGTTTCGGGTGGTGCGTTGCCGGCCTCGGCTACTTCATCAAAGCAGCTTCCGACTTTACAGCTCCAATTTTCATCAAACTCCTGATTGAGTCGGTTTATGGCTTGGAGCTCGTTTGAGCTCGTGCTTAGTTACAATGAACTGGACGTGTAGTCGCTGCTCCATTGTGCTTATCAACCCTCATCTTTCCAACCCTGATCTTTCATCCCTCCTCCACGCTGGACATGGTGAAGTTTACGTGGACAATGATCGCGCTTTTCGTGGTAAGGATGTTGGGTGCCATGGGCCTCCAGTATGGTGTGCATTTCACTATGCGACAGGGCTTGCAAATGTTATGGATTGTACCTCCAGGTGGTCTGATGCTGATGTCTAAACAGGGTTTTGGTTTTCCACCTCACGTTGTAGTGGTCTGATGTCTAAATAGGGTTTTCAAACTCACACACTTTGACTTTGTAGTATAGAATATCTAGGACTACGTCTAAGACCTCGTGGCGTGTGTGGCTTGGCTGTCCTGGAAAAGTCCTTGGAAACGGAGCCGGCAACTCGGGAGTTCGGCACATTGACGAATTTACAGAGTGTTAAGGGAGAAGGAGAAAAGTCGGAAGACATTGAGTCATAATAATTTTGAGTAGCGCTTAGCTTCTAACCACTTCGACGCGCAAGCCCTGCTGGACACGGTTCCGTTCGTCCATTGGCTTTTCATCCAGCCGATTGCTTTGCTCTTCGGCGCTGCGTACATCATCTATGTCGTTGTTATGAGATGGCGATCATGGCCGTACTGGTAGTTCGTGCTCGTTTCCTAAGAGTTCTTACTTCATCAGATGTGCCAGAAAAGAAAAGTCGTGGTTGTGCTTCCACCCCTGCTGGGTTAGGACGAGGAGGAGGAGGAGCAGGAGTACAATCACGTAGACCAAATCCAAAATATGAGCCCCGCTCTCGTGAGTACCGTACCCTAAAACCCTGCCCCTGGCCACCTATCTTTCTTCATTTACCGTATTTCCGGTATCATCGGCTTGGCTTCGGGTCTCATCGTCATGCCTTTCGCACAGAGGCGACAGAAAGCGATGGGCGTATACGAGAAAAAGAGGATGGCGGTGAAGTTATGGTTCAAACGGAAGAACAAGCACCATAGAGATGGAGCAGGATTCTGTTAGAACATCGACTAGTAGCGCAATGTTCTTCATGTCTACTCCTTAGTAGACTAGTATCGCAATGTTCTTCATGTCTACTTCTTAGTTCTACAAAGTAAACCTCTTCTCCAAGACCGTAGAGTCAACGCAGTGAGAACAAAGTAAACCTCTTCTAAGGCAAGACCGTAGAGTCAACGCAGTGAGTGACATGCTGAGTACGGCGAAAGTGACTAAGATGGTGGCACGGGAAGCCTTCTGGATCCAGTACGTGCAAGAGCTACGCGATTTGGAACTGACATATCACAAACGATTTTTGAAAGTACTTTAGATTCTTCATGATAGACGATTTTTGATGAAGGTACTCGATACATAAGTATTTATACTTTATGACTTTTGATTTTGAATTATGAATTACCGCTTCAACAATAACAACCCTCAACACACCAGGCTCGTTGGCAGTTCCAGTGCATTTTGATTTGCGCGCCGATGATTCAGCTTCTGGTTGCTTTCATTTTAGAGGAAATTGTTTTCGAGAACCGCCTGGGCCTCACTCAGTCTTTCGAAATGTTAGCAATGTTCTCAGCTATGCAACAGCCTTTATCGTTCTTGGGTTTCATCTTCATGATGTGGCGCAAGCTTGTGGTGGCCTGTGACAGGTTGACGAATTTCTTCACGGAAGCAAAATACTGTTAAGGCAAAAACTTGTTGCGGTTCTTGTTCTACGAAAGCAGTTCTTCTGCTTGACTGCAAGGGCACGTGGTAAGTACATGATTAGCAACATTAGTCGGGTACCGGTACAACTAGTCTCCCTCATCAATCCATCTCATGAGTCTCCCTCGATCACCATGGATGATCGGGTTACCTTGATACTTAGTTCCTTCCAGACAGTGGAGCTCTACCTCTAACATCGGGAACTCGATCAGCGCGTCCAGTACACAGCTAGCGATACCGACCCCCTCGAAGTAGCAGCAGGGAGTGAATTCAAATGGATCTATGTCGAGAAACCAGCCACCGAAAAAGACGAGGAGAACAAAGAGGAGGCTGGTTGTAATGAAAAAGACGCTAATAGAGGCAAAGCTGAGGGGGAGGATGGCCCTAAAGAGGAAGCTGAGGGCGCTGAAGGCGACTCAAGGTCGGGCTCAAAGCCAGGATCTCCAGTGGAGGATGGAAGTAGAGATAGCCCACAGAAGGTGAAGTTAAGGAAGACCGACTAGATTCTTGCTTGACCACAAAGACCACCAACGAATTTCGTATGTCGTAGGATACTACTGAAGGAAATTATCGATAAGAATAGTGATACCTTCCAAGCCGCTGCTTTGACCAACGTCTAACACCCCCATCAAGTACCGCGACACGACAGAGACGAGCTAGTTTGCCAGAAGTGTCTTTTTCCTGGCAGTCTCTTAGTCCGATGAAACGATTCCGGAAAAAACCGGAGGCCGAGAGTGCGGGAGGCGGTGCTTCGTCATCCAAATCAAATGCGGATGAGACAGGTTCCGTTAAGGCCAATTACTTCCGCTACTTGTACTTGTAGAGAAGTAGAATAGTCAAATCCACCAGAACTATAGTACCTCCAGTTGTGCTACTTCACGTTCACTGATATTAGAAATTGCCATTGTGCTCTCCTGCTCCTCGCGGTCCTCATTCGCAGTTGGCTTAGAGGTTTAGGCGTTGACCTTTATTACACTTATCACTTTCTCATTCTCTCTTCTATTCTCTCTTCTATTCTCTCTTCTATTCTCTCTTCTATGCTCTCTTCTATTCTCTCTTCTATTCTCTCTTCTATTCTCACTGTTATTTACTCTTGCCATGAGTAACATCCTTGCTCGCGCTCCTCATTCTCTCTTCATCTATTCTAACCCTAGCAATCTCTATCTCACTCTCTCTTCTATTCTCTCTTCTATTCTAACCCCCACTCTCTCTTCTATTCTAACGGTCGCACATCCCCAACGACGAAAAATAAGAGCTCCATCGCAAACGAGAAATTTCGCCTGAAGTTTGGGGATCCAATCAAAATCCAACTGGGAGAAGTTGTCACCATCGAGGGCAGCGTCGGAAGCGGTAAGACAGCACTTTTGCATGCTTTGCTAGGCATGCTTGAGGTCGTCACTGCAGATGTTATGGCTCACCCTTTTTCTCCATCTTCGGAAGCATCTCAGAGACGTTTGCAAGGGGATAACGCCCGCAGGATGAACTTCGAGATGGATTTTTAGGGTGAGCTCTAAAGATGATTCATCGGCAGAACATGGTAGCCAACCGAGCTTCAATGCAGCTGCAACAACATCTTCAAGTCGACAAACCTCGTCAAACTCAAACAAGTACAAGGCCCCACCCCCAGTCACGCGACCAGAGCGTCTTGCTTTTTGCCCTCAAACGGCCTGGGTCATGCATGACACTGTCGTGAATAACGTGTGCTTCGGACTTGCTTTTGACGAATCCCGGTTCTGGCGGTGTCTCGAGGCAGTAGCGTTTGACAATGAAGTGCGAGCATTTACAGATAAAGTTATGTTCCTGTATCTATTGATCGTATCTATTGATCAAAGCAGATAAAGTTATGTTGGTGGATGGAAACTGAAACACATGGATAAGAATTGCACACATGGATAAGAATTGCCCACGACGCTCACCGGTTAGTACAGTTCCACAGTTTCTTTCCCTTCAGATCATGTGTAATTCCTTCATGATACACTTCTTTCTAATCTCCAACAAACCAACATCGGCGACCGCGGAACGAGCCTCAGTGGCGGACAAAAAGCCAGACTCTCATTAGCGAGAGCTCTCTATTCCGATATGAAACGAAAAAGTGCACTCACACTCAAGAAATTGGCTAGGATTTAAGTAGGAAAATAGCCACTTTTTTTGAGTGTGAGTGCGCTTTTTTCTTTCATATCCGACGAAAAAATCTTACTCCTGGATGACCCTTTCGCGGCCTTGGATGTGCATGTGACCGCCCACACTTCTCACGCATTGTTGGACTTCCTAAAAGGCGAAAATCGCACCTTAATCCTGGTAGCGTCCAAAGTTCCCAAGCGTGTAGCAAAGGTGAGAACACAGAAGATCCTAGTCTCTGACGATGGCGTTGTCACAGTAGCGCCAGGCGTTGTGGACGGAGCTCCTCCTGCTTTAGAAGATGGTCTAGACTCGCCAACGAACAAAGAAACAAAAACCGTAGATGAACAAGACATCAAGGTCCTGGAAAACATGAATGTTGCTACTGAGGCAAAAACTTCGGATAACGACGATGTTGATCCGAACAATAGTGGTGAGGGTAAAAAAGAAGAAGGAGATACAGACAAAGATGCCAAGACGAAAGAAAAGCAGGAGTCACAGGGAGCTGGTGTCGTGCCTTTACGGTACTACATCTGGCTTGCTGCGCACACCAAGGCGGGAATGATCGCGACAGTGTTTGCTCTGATGATTGTCTTATGGATGAAAACACAGTAAATGCATTATACATAGCAGAGTGGTCCCAAGATCACCAAGCAGAACTACAGCAAGATACAATGCATGCTTAAAAACGACTTATGATTCTTATACGACTCATCCTTATCCTCTTGGCCTTCTAACAAACGGAAACCTTGCTAAAGTCTTCCTAGAATTCCTCATCGCGTTATACGGCGAGCAAAACGACAATCGCCGAGCTGGTATCGAGAACGACAAGAACGTTATTGATTTTTTGACTCCTTGGTGGTCCGACAGTAAAGACGATGACGAAGAAGCAGTGCAGTTTATTTTCCTCTTCGCCATTGCTTCTATCCTCGCAGTCGTCATCACCTACACTGGCGCGATGGCGGTGATGCACAGCATGCTGATGATCAGCCGACACATGCATCGCAACTTGCTGTTCGCACTAGCCCAAGCCAGGCTTCGTTTCTACGAGAACACTTCAGTGGGCAGGATTTTGAACCGATTTTCTGCCGACTTCGACGCCGTTGATCATCAACTCCCCCAAAATGCAGAATCTTACCTGCAGTGCATTGTCAAACTCGTATCTGCGATTCTCGTGATGTCTGTTGGCGCCCCACTCTTTATTGTGCCGATGTCGATCTTTATGTACGTTTTTGTGTATCTGCAGGACCTGTTCCGACCATTGGCGCGTTTGTTGCAAAGAAACGCAGCAGCAGACAGGAGTCCGGTGTATACGAAGTTTGATCAGCTCCTACAGGGTATGCAAGTGGTCCAGGCACATGGCAAGAGTAAACAGTGGTACTCAGACTTCGCAGTTGTCATGGACAAGCAACACCAGAGCTATTGGGTCATGAATCAAGGTACTATTCTTCGGTACTGAAATTTCCTATGTTGCTGAGATCCGCAGGTGGCACTCACTTTCACTTTCACTGATGCTTTCAATATTTTCTTGGTCTCACTGATTATAACTGACTAACTTTACACTCTTCTTCGTTACTTGCACCAGCACAGGTAACCGTTGGTGGGGCGTCCGCCTCGAAGCTCTGAGTGTCATTCTGCTTTGTATCGTGCCAGTCTGCCTCATTATCTGGAAGGAGTACATTGACAGCAGCCTCAGTCGTCCAATTATTGCTTTATGAATAGAATTCAACTTTGTTTTTGATTCAAGTATGTGCAGCATTCAAATGACTGTGAGACAAGGAAACTCCCAACCACTTGCATTTTCTGCTCCACCTAAGCTCCCCACTTCATGTCCTCCCTTGACAACCACGTAAGTAGCTGCATCCTCTCCCCTCATGCTTCTCATTGTTCTCTAATCTCCGTAGTCGTCCTTCAAAGCATGCAGATGACCTTCCTGTTTAACTGGGCAGTTCGCATGCGGACCGAGTTCGAGGCGAAGATGGTGTCGGTCGAAAGAATACACGAATACACTGTGGTAGAGAAAGAAGAAAGTTTTAATCCTAGAGGAGGAGAAATTCTTAAGGCTTCCACAAATCCAAGTCCATCTTGTTAAAGAGCTTCCTGGGACCGTTTTCACGGGGGGAAAGGTCCCAGGATTCACTATAAGATTTGGGTTTAGGGGGAAGCTCGAAAATTCAGGATCAAGCAAGCGCTGCGAAGACAGGCGGCGCTCGCAGTACTTCGAAAATAAGTACGAAGGAGAGTGAGGTTGCGGTGGACAACAGCATAGTCTTGTTCGGAGCGGCGCACTTGTTCCGGGCTAGCTCTTTAAGGCATGAAAAAAATCAAGAAGGGAACACTCGAGTCAATTTTTCGGTTTTATTCCTAGCACGTACTATTCCTAGCACAAGCTTTATCTCCTCTTCTAACCCTGGGACACGCTCTCGTAGCGCCTGTGATGAAAGGGGGCCCAGCTATGCCCTTGAAGCCGATAACGACCGGTGCTGTTGCAGCTCCAGCTAAAGCCGCAGACCCTGCAGCAATGGTCGAATTCTGCGATGTCAAGCTTCGGTATCGCGAGTACCACCCTTACGCCCTCAAGGGTGTGAACTTCGCGCTCGCTCCTGGTTCATCCACAGCCGTCATAGGTCGAACAGGCAGTGGGAAAAGTTCGCTGTTTGCGGTTTTGTTGCGGTTGGTTGACGAGTACGAAGGTCAGGTTTTCTTGAACGGATATGAGATCAGCAACATACCACTGGCGGCTTTGAGAGGATTGCAAGTATGACGCGATGTTGTAACTAGGTTTTTTGCAATCTAGTAATAGTATTCGTATTGAAGTTCTTTCAGTTTCTTATTGAACAAGTGGGCCTCTCATCTAACCTCTCTCGCCGTCGTGCCACAAGAGCCTCTGCTGTTTTCTGGACCGCTGAGACACACTCTTATGACGAGTCTCGCGCCAGGGCAGAAGATCTTCGCACGTGGAACCATGGACCAATACAGCAACAATGCAAGGCCAATAAGTCTCGGGAAGGCTGATGTGGACGACGTTCTGATTTTGGAAGCTTTGGTTATGACAAACTTGTTTCATTCTCAACATGTAGCGAGCTGGTGTGTGTTCTTACTCGGGTCAGTGTACTACTTATGTAATTCAATTTATTACAAGAAACTTTTTTTTGTTTCCTAGTTAGACGTGCTCCACCGATTTTATTACAATATAAGTACTCAAGAAATATTTAGAAGAAACTGCCTTTCTACTGTCCCTTTTCCATACCTTCCCCATCCCTTTCTTTCATATTCTAGACCGTGGGCCTGAAGGATCTGGTGCTCGAGCGTGGAGGACTTGACGACTTCGTAGTGGACCCGACAGCTACCGATCTCTCGTTCGGTCAGCGGCAACTCCTGTGTGTAGCACGTGCACTTATAAAAGTCCGAGCTCTGACTGGCGGTGCATCAGGTAGAGGCTCTACATCTTGAGTAAATCCTAGTGCAATTGTTCTTTATAGCTTTGAAGATTTGTGGTCCAACTCGACCTCACAACTTCTTTGATGAAGAAGAACTAGAATCTACGAATACTTTAATAAACCGTCCATGCTCCATAAAGGACACAACTTCCAAGGTGAAACCGGCAAAGTGCTCCTCATCTCCGACGAAGCGACATCGAGCTTAGACCGAGAGACCGATATGAAGATCCAGAGGGTGCTAGCCGGTGAAGCCAAGAATCCGAATGTGTGTGTGGTGTCTATCGTCCATACACTGGACAGCATCCTGGCGCACTACGACCGCGTTCTGACCATGTCAGATGGGCTAGTAGACTCTTTTGGAGATCCAAGAGAGTTAGCAAAGGACCCGAATACGATTTTTGCGACCATGCTAGAAAAACAAGGAGTTAGTTTTGCGACATGATAAGTAGGAGAGGTTGTGTTTAGCAGTTGAAATAGATCATATGGCATATGCATTAGGTGCATAGTCGTGTATAGAAGGATGGTATGTATCGAGTTGTAGTGATAGCATAGTTTTATTAGGACTTATGCATATTTGAATTTGTAAGAGGACTTCCTCTAAGGGGCTTATGATAATGTACCGAAGATTAAGGTTAGTTCTATCTAGTGTTGCTTGCTCATGAAATTATCGCTATTCTTCTATGCTTCATCGCGCTTAAGACGCATCAAGATCAATAAGTATTCACTGGTATCGTGGTTAAGAACGAAAATGTCGTTGGTGTTTTAGGCCTATTCTGTTCTCCATTGGACTTGACCGACGGCGCAGGGATCAACATCGAAACTGTTGATCTGTGTTATCCAGAGTGATCACTGTCCTCGAACGGGAACGAAAAAATCCGCTCTGTCACTAGGTTGGTTGTCGTTAGTGCACGACCAGGTGGATACTCCTTTTGCATGACCGACATATTAACATCGTGTTAGCTCTAGTTCTATCAAAATTTTTTTTGTGACTACCCATAAGACTACAGGTTGCACAATATTACAGGTGCGCAATCCACCGACTGTCTTGCATTATGTAGTCGCTCATTTCTTTCAGTTGTGTCTAGTACCGCACGAGATCGTGATGTCAAGGGATATTTATGATTTGTCCGAACGCTATCCTCGTTCGCGCTATACAGGTATCCTCGCATTCATGATCATTTGAATAGTCATTCATCAAAATGAAAAACAATTGGTTAGTCTGAGTGTACAGCAATCTGAACAGCTCATTTAAGAACATACAGAGTTACCAAGTTTATCTCTAACGGCAAGGACACGTTTTTTGTCGTGCAGTGTGCAGATGATTGTCATAAAGTGTCATGCTTTCCTCGCTTGGAATCAAGTGGATCATCTCCCACTTGTCAGCTAATGCTTCTTCGAGTACAAAACCAAAAGGCCTCGCTAGGAGGACGATGCACAGAACAACCTAAATCGTCAGCATGTTGAGGAAATCACACAAAACTCCATGATGTCCAAAAATGATCAAGCAATGACCAATTTGTGTCGAGTACGATTTTTTCCGCTGCGCAGAGATTCTCCTGCGCGTGTGTTTTACTTTCCAGATTACCCCCATTGACAGAATGAACTTCAACATAGAAGATCGTACTGAAGATCGAAAACATCAAAGGTTCAATTCTTTTCGATTATTTGATGACATCCTAGATGAAATTTTTTCTTCATTTTTCTAATGAAAGAAAAAAGTAGTTTCTTTTGGAGGTTTCGTCTATAATAAATAAGTTTATAATGTGGGAGCAATAGGTGTTCTTGGTATGTTAGTTTATGTTTTATCATTGTGTTCCAGCAGAACTAAAAGTTAGTAAATTCTTGACAAGTTGTATTCCACAGGATGAAGGTGAACAATTGTAATTTTATCAAGATGTTGAGAAGACTGCAGCTGAACATTTCTTGTTGGGGTCTGCTCAACATCGCGACCGCCAGTGCCGTAACGTTTCACGATGGTGGGGCCGCGACTAGAAGTACTTCTTCGACCAGTATCGCGAGCATGGGCACCACGTCATACCCCTCTTCAGCCAGTCTTGCGAGCATAGGCTCTTCTGGCAGTATTGCTAGCATGGCCCCTTGTTCGAGTACGAGTGCTATTGCCACCTGCGTCGAGTCGTCCTCTTCATCTTCTTCATGCGCCAAAAAAGCGGGAACAATGACGGATCGTCGCCATAGGGATGACGTAAACCGGATGGGATTCTTACCAATGACGGGAGATGACCGCGCTTCATCTTCTAGCCGTAAAACTTGTTCGCTTTGGCTCGACGAACTGCGAGAAATCGAACAAATACACCCGTGTTGCTGTATAAAAGGCGACTCAAGAAAAGTAGAATCTTTATCATTTGATATTCCTGAAACTCGTCCTCTTCCATTCCAGCATCCTCTGGTCCCTAGTATATCCGCGCACTGGAGGAGCAAAGGCAAAGGCAGCAGTGCCGTACAAGGGACAGGGGGACTTGATGTTTATCACGAAAAAACATCAGAAAAATCCTCTTCGTCTCCAACATACCTACGAAAACGGCGAAAGGCATCCTACGATCATGAGGATCAAGAGGAATTTTTTCCGATTAGAGAGGAGCATACGTCACCGAGCCGCGGAAATGTTGATCAAGACCGTACTAAGGAGAGAGAGCGGGAGCAAGGCACTCATATCCAGCATGAAGATGGAACTCTCTTTCGTGGACGAGGTGGAGACCAATATCTAGGAGCTTCTCTAGCTTCTCTACACGACGACATCAACCTCCAAAAGAATTCTCCACAGCACTCATTCGTGCAGTCCCGGAACGCCCTTCAATTTAGCTGCTCGATTTCCATTTTTTGCAGTATCAAGATCGAAGACCCGACGGGACGGCAGAAACAGTTTCACAACGCAGCGAAAGTTACCACGTTTTTGGCGAGAAGCCTGTCGCATGCAGTCGACACTTCTACTATGCGGCTTTGCGAAGGGTTAGAATGCTGCTTGAGCTGCGGACCGGCCTCTAAGTGTTGCGATAGTGTAGCTGGAGGTGAAGAGAATGCCAACGACTTCCACAGTGACCACACTCCTGAGCAGATGAATGTTCAGTACCCACTCCCAGCCAGCTCGCCTGGAGCATCAGAGGCTGGAACGATGCGTGATTCACCAGTACCCTTCCCCGGCAAGAACGGAGAGCACTTTTTCGACGACGCTGCAGATGACGGCAGCGTTCGGGAGTGGCAGTCGTCAGGGTCCTTATGCGACGACGCACTCGCAGTCTTTGAGCATATGTGTTGTCCCTCAACTAGGGATTGGCAATACCACACCTTACAACGAAAGCCTTTTGCTGGAGACGTGCTAAGACTGAGGAGTGATCGCAAGATAGACTTCGTGGACCGAACGTATCTGTGTTTGAAGAACGACTGGATTACTCTGGGCGAGATGGCCACGTTCTCGGCTATGGCAACGATGGAAACGACGGAAAGAGAGGCGCCCAGTTGCTATACTTGTATCAATTAAGAGTCGTTTGTTTCACATCACATCCGCATCACCCGATTATAACATCCTTGTTGCCCTTTTTTCAAGTAGAAAATAGCTGAAAAATGTTATCTCAAGAATGTAGTAGGGAAACCTTTAAATCAACGAACTACGAACCGAATTGGCGCATCGATGCACGGTGGATTTGCCGCTGCACCCGTTTTACAGCACTGGTGATCAAAAAATAAGTGGCTCTGGTGCCTCTTCTAGCAGTAGTCCAAGTTTCAGAAGCGGTGGTTTTCACGATCGCAACGATCCAACTCGGGAAAACCAGATGCCTCTACCTCCATTAAGGGTGGGTTTTAGGTGTTTCTGTTACCGTTTGTTAATGTTATGGCTCTCCTAAGGGAGAAAAGCATAACGAACGGAGTAAGCGAACACCAAAACCCTGCCTCTAATACCTCCAGCAGGAGCAACCGCGGCAGTGTGGGGTGGTCCGTGTAATGTGTGGCATGCTCTGCCCTATGACGAAAAGAAACGGCACCTGATGCGACTGCAATGCGTTGCTGTGTCCTGTTGCTGCTTTCCAGCTAGTTGCGGAGGAGTGTGCATCTTCTGATTCTCGTCCTTCACTGTCTGTGTGCGTCTTCTTATTCTAAGTTGCTTTTTGCTTATTTCAGTTTATCGAATAAGTCTAAGTTCCAGCAACAGGAATTCATTGGGTACTCCCCAAGTAACTGTACTAAAAGTTTGAAGAATTTCCTTATTCTAGCATCCTTGCCGAATCGACTAACATCATCGTAGGTCCAATCGACTAACATCATCAGTTGATATATCAAGCAAGACAAGGCTCGGTCATACGTAGTAGTTATCCGTTTGTTCTAGTAGTTGACACACGCACACCTAAAAATGATCATATTTATATTTAATTACTGAAATTGAAATTGTTTTATCATCTGATGTCCTCTCTGACCCGTCTGCTCTGATCCTTTCGGTACTTTCTTGTCCAGTCTGTGACGAAGAGCATGATCAAGAATCAAGTAACCTTGAGCCTTGCAATTTTCCTGGGTCGATGAGAAAATTTTCTTAGTAAGCAATACTTCAGGCCTCTTGTTTTGTCGTGTACTATTCTGCGGTGTTATTTCCTGTTTCATGTGTCTAGTTTTCTAGTTTTGGCAGCTGCCTTTTTGTCGTATTAAGTGATGTAGCTGTGGTTCCCGAGAACAAGATTTAAATGTATGAAGATAATGAAGAGGCAGTCATGTCGAAAATGCAGCCAGGTACTGTGCGCCAAGGATTTTTTTAGAAGTGAGAGTCTTCATGCTGTAAGAACAACTCGTGATTCACTTTTAAGAATGATCCTAATATCAACAGATTTTTACAATTATTTTCCTATTGAAGGCGGGGATAACAAGAACGCACACGAATGCCCTTGTCCCTACCGTATCCACGTCTTAGACATGAATTTAATGTCCCACTATCATCTTGAATCTTTGCGCGTAGTCATCTTACTGAACGCAATATCATTGGTGTTTGAGTTCCAGTGTATCACCAAAGCGGTAAAGAATCATCTTTCATATCAAAAAAAGCATTTCTTGTTTCGAATTTTCCATGTTCTCTCTACTGTCTTCATGTGAGGATATGAACAAATACTCAATAAAGCCACCCACCTTAAGGGGTACTGCATTCATCCCTGCTCTCTCCCTCATCAACGACGACGATCTTCTTTTTGCTACCGGCTCTTGCGAGTGCTCTTCATATACCTGGTTTCTTTTGTGTTGTAACGTTCTCGGAGGATGCCGCTGTTAGATGTTGTTCTTCTTAGTGCTTGATAGTACAATGCTTAGGCATGATGATTTATGCTGAGCAAAAGAGCTGCCAGAGGGTCACTGAGGGCTATGATACTCACAAAAAGGAATGAGGGAGAAAGGAGTAGGGTGATGAGCGAAGGAGAGAAGTAGATATGGCAAACACAAGATGAAAAGCGTACGAAATACACCGCTTTCTTATGCCGAACAGGAGCTTGTTTAGGAAAATGGAAAATGGAACGCTTAGAGAAGCGCCGGCCCAAGAATACAGTTATTAGATGGAAATGAAATAGAAAGTGTACATGTACAAGTTCTGAGAAGCTAGATAACAACCCTTGTTGAGTATGTTGACTTTCTAGTGATATATCTTTTTTCTCAAGCCAATACACGACTTACCTTCTCCATTAAACGAAGCCGCCAGTCACTGGCGAGTCACAACATGGGCCTCTCACAATCAGCCCTCGAGCCGAGTCCTGGTAGCGAGGTTCGCTTCCACTACGCTCTACTGCGAGCTCGGACTCCTGGAGGGGACAACAGCGATCAACCATCTCTGCTCGCGCTGGAGTACTATCCCACGAAGGGCCTTGGATTCCAGTTGTGGCCAGCAGCTTTCGCCTTAGCCGATTACGTCGAACGGCATCTGCTGCTGCCTCTGCACAACTTATCGAGCAATGCAGCGAGAACCGAGCGGCAGTCGAGTCAGAGAGGTGCAAAGGATGTTGAACAGTATGACGGGAGTATTTGTTGATAAGTTGTACCAACTGAATGTTACTGTGTCAATCTTCTGTGTTACTTCTAGCTTACGCTTATTTAGAGGGTTCTTTAATATGGGAGTAGTTCAACTTGTTTCTAGAACGCCTTCGACATGCATTCCCCTCCTCCCTTCTCCCGACTTCAATATCGCATCGAGTTTGAGATATTACGAAAGGGCACGAAGTTGGAAAACCTCGATCGCTCGCTTCCATCGCCTACCTGCGTCAGTGAAGTAGAGCTGACCATGGCTGCCTCTCCGAACAAACCGGAAGCAAATACCAACCCACAGTTTGCACCACAAGGACAAGAGCAACCACAACCTTCGTCTCTTCCTTCATCTCTTCCTTCATCTCTTCCTTCATCTCTTCCTTCATCTCTTCCTTCATCTCTTCCTTCATCTCTTCCTTCATCTCTTCCTTCATCTCTTCCTTCATCTCTTCCTTCATCTCTTCCTTCATCTCTTCCTTCATCTCTTCCTTCATCTCTTCCTTCATCTCTTCCTTCATCCCTTCCTCCTCCAGCATCAACAAGTAGTTCTTCCGCAAGCCTCTCGTTCCTAGAGATAGGTTGCGGCATATGTGCTCTGGCTTCACAGGTGTGTGCACAGTACGGCCATGATGCTCTAGCAACGGATGACCTCATGGTGGTGCAGAATATGCTTCCGAATTTGACCCTGAACAGGCCAAAGAAACTCAAAGCAGTCGCTGCAAACTGGTACGCAGACGCAGAAATAAAAGCAATGCTGTCGTGGAAGAAAGTACTGTTGAAGTACCAAGAGATTTTGTGCATTTTTTTCTTTGGATAGAGAACAATGGCTACGACGCAACGTCTCAACCACCACAACTGTTTCGCATTGATTTGTATCGTCAAAACTGTCACTGTCACATAAGTACAAACATTCACCTCCACACTGACTGAAAAATAACATCCAACATGACAGGTAGATTACATCCTAATGTCCGAGGTTGTTTACTTCCCGTCGCTGTTCCAACCTTTGCTAGACGCTTTGACGCTGATCCTCAACGCGAAGCACTACAATGTCCCAGCATCTGAAGCAGAACCGCAGGTTTCTCCGGCTCAAGTTGGTGCTAGCCATGTCGGTGGAGGTAGCTTGCCACATGGAGAGTCCACGTCAACAGTTTCATCCTCAAGTACTAGTTCGTCAAAGCCTTCTAGTAGTTCTTCGCGAAAAGGTAGTTTTTCTACTTCAAAATCTTCTAAGACGACTCCTAGAAGAGAACCAGTCATAATATGGGCCAACAGCACTCGCTTCCCGGACTACAAGCCGCCACTAGACGAGTTCATAAAACTTGCGACGTCCTCAAAGTACAACTTTGAGGTGGAGGAATTGTATCGCGTTCGGCAGCGGGACGTAGATTTGCATCAAAATGTCTCTGCGAGTAGGGACCACAGATCGTCGATGCCTAGTCCTGTAGGCAGCTCTGAGCCTCCGATAAAGCTGAATATGGTACCCGAAGAATATTGTGTCATACATCGTATGGTGCGGCGGAAGAAGACGAAAACCTAAATACGACAGTAGTTTCTGGCTTTGAAGTTTTGAAGATTGCGACTTAATTTTGAACTCGTTCCAGCGAAGACTTGTTGTGCTGAGACCTGCTTGAGAATTTGCTCTTGCATCTTCTCCATTGTGTGAAGAACTGAGTTTCCTCATTACTTATACGCCCAGTTGTGGCTTGGTTCTATTCTACGGGAGCCAAAGACTCGTTTATTCTACTCACGCGTTCTTTTTGAATTCATCTACAGTAGACAAGCGCTCTCTAATTCTCGGGGTTTTCAAGAACAATTTTGCACAATGCATTGGTGAATGACGCCGTGCGGCAGTCCGCACTGAATTCTGTGCGAGATTAATTGTATTGTATAAACCAGCATAGCCCGCCTTTGATGCCATGACTTGAGTCAGACTGTCCCTGGTGGAGGAAAAATGTAGTACATGATGACGAGTGTTTTTGGCAAAGGTGAAAGCGCGGTCTGTTCACATGGTGGTCGCCTGGCTGGAGGTCATATTCATGATCCATCGAGCTTTTCCTGTCTCATGCATTAAATAGGTCTCCTTTTTCTGTCTTATTCGTCGATTTTGATCATCTTGTTTACATTTCACCTGAAAGTGGGTCGCCCAGATCTTATCTTCAATTCAGGTAGAAAGAACATGATCAAGATGCCGACTTTTCTCTCGTTCTCGTGGAAGCATCTTCTGATCATGCGTTTGACGTTTTTTCTCGCAACCTGGGATGCGCTAGTACACGCCGGTCACGCGTCGCCGCTACTGCGCGCTGGTAGCAGGGCATCCCGAGATGGCGTTTCAAGAACATTCAGTTTGCATGCTCCCTGTAGTTGTTGTAGGACCACAAGCACCAGCGACGTTTCTCCTTGTTCTAGACGATTGACGACGCATCTGCAGCCATTGATGCGACTTCCTATAGGAGCTTCTTCGAAAGTCTGGAGGAGTTATTCGTCATGTTCTTCCACACCTTGCGGAACAACCTCAACAGCATGTTGGGCAACAACTGCAGCGCCACGGAATATGTTGCTCCGTAGCACCTCCGATGTTCAGGCTCTCCTTAATTCCAATGATGTTTTGCCGACGAGTCCGACTGGTTGTTCATCATCTACGTCCTCCACGCCAGCATTGGAAGCTATCCACGACGGCCCTGAAGACGCAGTTCGCCCCGCGGATACTGTTGACGATGAAGGATCAATCAAGAACACGAGTATCAACACAGTGGACGATGCAGACGACAATGATGCCCAGATGAATAACGAAGCCTCGCGTGAAGATATCAGTGAAGATCGTATTGACGGTCCGCGCTTGATGGGTTCTATTGTCGATCCATTTGACGAGGACTTCATGGACTCGGACTTCGTGGATGGCGATGACGAGCATCCACTGAGAGAGTGATGAGCACGAGTCTCTAGGAGAGTAATGATGGTTCCAATTTCCGACTTCCTCCACTCTCTCCTAATTTATTACTTGCACTTGTAGTTGTATTTTTCCTCTACCTCTTCCAACATATCGATAATTATCTAAGTACATTTGATCCATTTTTCTGATGCATGGTGTTGATGATGTGTTGATTTCGTGTAATAAAGCACATGATAGTTGTGACATAGAGATAGAAGAAGATCTTTTGGTACTTCTAACGCGATAGAGACTATAAGCGATGCAAAATATTGATCGTCTTCTAATGGACTTAGAAGAAACGACCAGCAGGTCTTGAGTTGTTATAGTTGAGTTTAGTCAAAATAGTAACGTTCCTGCTTACAACATACTTCTTACATAGTCGATATTTTCCGGATGTTTTTCCAGCTTATTATATTATCTTCCTGATCAACTACTTTTTCTCCTGGCTGCAAGAACTACCTTTTGACGAACAATCTATCCGTAAATCTGAACGACTGGAAACAACCTTGTGGTCTTCGGAATCAGAATTTCACACTCAAAATCCAAATCCCAGTGTCAGCGCTTGTGAAGATCCCTGCACTTCTTGCACTTTCTGTACCATGTGGTGTTTTCTCGGAAAATGCTGTAGTGGGTTGCTTTTGATTGCAGGCGACTAACCTTGTTCTCCGAATAAGATGAATCCTCTGCAAGAAATGAATGTTCATTCTTGCTGGTTGTAAAGGTTCTCTCTCTCTCTTCATGGGATCGATTATGATCAATCATTGATTCGAATCTCAATGTTCGAAATGATAGGAACGCCTTTCCTTCATCAGGTGGCAGTCGCATTGATGTTGACTAGAATTCCTGTGCTTTCGTCGTGGCTATATAAATCTATCATCGTGCACTTAAATTTGATTGGTTCAGCTTTCGTGTTCATTTGATTTGTTCAGCTTTCGTGTTCTTGTTCAGCTTTCGTGCGAGTATAATTCTTTGATTTAGATTTATATTGGGAGCACTAGCATCTATCGCTATCCTAATCGAAAAAACACGATGTCAGCTCCTCCCGCTGCTCCTGCCGCGGCTGGGCTTTTCCCGCCTGGCGTCCCTGTGCCCACTGCTGGCGCCAGCGTCCTACTGGAGATGGAAGATGCCAAAAAGCGACAAGATCTACCAGCATTAAAGGTAGCTTTGCTCAAAGCCAGAAAGCTTCCAGGGGTCAACATGGAATGGATCGATAATGCTTTAGTCGAAATCGAGAACCTGGAGAAGGTGGCAACGGATCAAGGCAGCACAGGCATTCTAGACGTGGCAAAACAGTGCAAAGAACAGGGAAACGCAAAGCTGAAAGAAGCTGGTGGAACGAAGGCAGCTTTGATCAAGCAAGCAGGAGAGCACTATACACATGGAATAGCGCTCTTATCGCAATTCATCGCGGCAAAGGAGAAGAAGGAGAAAGAACAAGCAGCTGCTGCTGGAGGTGAGAAGTCAGCATCGTCCAGTGATGCCCCTGGAGCCTCATCGACATCAGATGAAGCAGCACCACCAGCATCATCAACCTCCTCAACTTCTACAACCTTATCAGCAGAGGAGCAAGCATCTTCAAATACGCTCTTAGCTGACTGCCGGACGTTGCTAGGACAAATGTACTCAAATCGTGCACAAGTTTTACTGCACATGAGAGATTTCGTAAACTGTGTGGATGATTGCAAGAGGTGTTTAGCACAGGATCCCAAGAATATGAAGGCATTCTATCGCGCAGCCCGTGCCTCGCTATTGAACGGACTTTTCCAGCAATCTTTGGATTTCTGCACGAGGGGATTGGAGGTAAGAATAGATAATCTGATAAATTTGAGGATTGTACTAGTGGACTTTTGAATTCTGATTAACCTCCTGCTGTGATTCATTGTAAATGAATATGATGATAGGTACTTCTGAAAGAACCGATTCTACTCCATGATCTTCTACTATGCTTCCTCTAGTATATATTTCAAAGAAAATGCTTTCTCTAGTTATCACAAAAATATCCACAGCTCACTCCCGGCGACGCCGATTTGCAAAAACTCAAAGACTCTGCTGAAGGGAAACTTTCCAGCCAAAAAGCTATCAAGGAGAAGATCAACGTTTCACCGCAAGAACTTCTCGAGCTTCAAGAAAAAGCCAACACCGCTTATCAGCAACTAACCCAACTGCGTCAACAGATCAACCTGAAAAAGCAAAAGCGTCGCGCACAGGAAGCTTGCAAAGTCTACGTTAGCGAACTCGATCCAGTGAAAAACGCACCTAGTCCCGAAGGGTGCTACGTTGGGTGTGGAAAGGCGTTTCTGAAGCGGGAGAAAGAGGAGCTAGTGGCAGAAATCGATGTCATCATGGCTGGAGTGGATGCAGAATTGCCCAAGATGGAGAAGGCAGAAGAAGAATTGGACGCCAGATTCACATCTGCGAAAAAAGAGTTCGAAGACATCGTGAAATACTTGCCTGCGAGTAGGCTGGGAAGGAAGTAAGGGAAGATTATCGTCGTTATTTTGCTTGTCCTTAGAAGCTATATAAGAGAAGGGCAAGGGAGTATGATGGCAATGGAAATGCGTGATCCCGAACTTCTAGACCTTCTTCCGCCACGACAGTGTGGCACATGTTCTTCATTTAATGTTTTACCCTACCTCGTCCGATAAATGTTGCACTTTCATCAGCTCCGATTTTCTACCCTGTTTTCCCATCCTTTCTTGAAGTTCATCATTTCCTCGAACAAATGTAGCGAGTAACACCCGGTCGAGGGCAACTGCAATCCTAGTGGGTTGCGTAATTCTGAATTTTCATCTTGTGTTATCGCTGCTCTCTTCTAGAAGGAGCCGAAGGTTGGCCGGCTTGAACAATAAGGATGACTACGCGAGTGATTTGGCAATGCGAACAACAAAGATGATCATTATCTTTATCATGTACAGAGGCGAAGTGTGCGAGAGATGAGCACTACTGAGTGGATAGATGAGAGTTTGTATGAGGAAGAGCAACAACTCTCGAATGACTACCGCAGCTTCTTGCACAATAAAAGTTTCATGAAATCATACCGATTTCGTTGGCGATTTGCACTAACATTGTGATTTCCTAACCTGCTTTATCTGTTTCTCCTCTTCAAAACACAATCGCAAAACCATGTTCGGATTCGAGCCAATCTCTGCGATGTCAAAATGGCAGAAGCGTGGCCTTGTTTCATGTTAAGGTTACCACGACATTTGCATCCTTGGGTCTTGATCCTTCTCCACAGCTTGTGCTTATAGCGCAATAAAAGACCAAGGATGTTGCTGTCCTCGACACTATTTTGATAGCATCAGATGCACCTCAACCTCTGATCATGAGGACTATCTCCACTCTACCAGGAGATCAGCATGCCCACCAGGAACCATCAACCATGATCAGCCATCAACCATTTTAATAGCTGCATCTGTCATCCTATATTACCATCTGTCATCCAATAAATACCATCAACCATCTGTCATCCTATATTACGTCTACTCTAAGCTCTGCTCCTTTCCATAGTCGCTTTTTACTTGTATCTCTACCTTGTTGTTACGACCTGGTTTCCTGCGATTGCAAACGAAGTCGGGCTTCTGACTTACCACGATTTGGTGGGGGCTGTATTTCCAGATGTACCAGCAGCTGCAGTAGAGTTTTATGAAGAGGCGAAGAGCATTGAGGTGGGAGCGCCGGATTTTGCGACATTTGGAACAAATTTAGTTCAGATTTTTTTGGTCGACGAACATCAAAGCAGCGAGCGTTTCGTCCAAGCGACCCAACTCTTCACGCAGTTCGCGAAAACGACCATCATCTATGCATTTTCCAGCTGTAAGCAAACACTGCTCTACGTGCTTCTAGATCCGTCTTTAGCGGTGCTTCGAGGACGCTTGTTGCTTTTGCTGCCTTCGTACATGATCTTCTTCCTGCCGTGGATCGAGTGCCTCTATATCGCGCTAGGATGGAGAAAAACACTGGATTTAGACGACCCGTTGCTGCATTGCGACTACGTCGAGTACGGTGCTCACTCGCAAAGTAGGCGGAGACGGGAGCAAGCACTAGCGCACTTACCAAAGACATCGAAGAATTCTCCCTTGTTCTTAGTACGACGACCAGACCCGCGTGATATTCCTCTGGGAAAGGTGAATGACGGGTTAATATTCATCAAGCAGGCCCAGCAGTCGCAGGAGGAAGCACGGATGAAATAAAAACAGGTGGCAAGAACATAAAAATAGGAGTCTTCTTCTTGTTCTAGTTTTCATCACAATAGCAACAACAGCGACATTGAAATTCGATCATCATGATGTGACACAACGTGAAACTATCAAGATCTTGAAGGAAAGGAAATGAGCACTACATCGGGAGCAAAGACCCTGCTAGAGGCAGGAGCGCCTCCGGACGCGTCGCGCGCGACGAGTCTCAGGTTCAGACGTCTCCAGGACTTGAGCGTGGCACGAATCTTCTGTGCACGCCGCTTTGTCCCTGGCGATGATCTTTCCTTACGTCGTGTAGTGCAGATCTGCCGGCAGCAAGCGGGCTGTCTTATCCCAGAAGAGGACGAAGATGTATTTGCACATGACCTACTTGAAGCAACATTGGCAGACTTCCTTATCAATGGTGTTGGAGATAGCGTCAATCCGCTTGAGGAACTACTACAATCGCTTGTTGTTGTAGGCAAAAAAGACGAAGACCGCACTAGTGGTAGTGAGTCCTCTCAGCAGCATTCAGTCTGGTTTAGTTCTACCGGGGATGCTTTGCTCGACATTGCGAAGGAGACGGAAAAAACGGTCTTCTTCGGACGCAGAAATCACAAATCTTCATCGGGAGGAAGATCTGCGTCGAAGAAAGGTAGTACTAGTGCTATTCGAGGAGGAGCGGCAACGCGAGGACAAGAAGAAGAGTTGTACAACGACGAGGATGGACCTTCTTTCGCTGCACTTCAGGATGGTTTACTTGCTTCATCGACAGATGAGCAGGAGAATACCATGTCTAAAAACTCTTCCTGTAGTTCTTCGGCTGCAAGCAGCGCAGGGGGAGACGACTCGCGTAGAGAAGCTGGCGAAACCGAAGGACAAACACAAACTGCACAGGGCACCGACGAGGGCCAAGCAGAAGCTGAAAGTCAAGTCGTGGTTTGTAGTAAAAAGAAGGGCAAAAAGCGTAAGCGCGGAATCATGAGCGAGCGTGTGTGTGCGCTCGCGGACACTAGGATGACCGTTGAGTTTCAAAACCTCGTGATAAACGACGAAATTGAGCGCGCAGCCAAAGTCTTGCACACTGTGAACATCAACGGCGCGTTCTTTGATGGTGAGCCGTCTAAAGAAGTCGTGTTTGATGCGGATGACGAAGCGAAAATAGAGGTATAGCGTACTAACTTGGAGTTGGATTTTTGTGAAATTCTTCATACTGCTATAATTTTCGTCTTGAATCATGATCAGATTCCGAGCGCTACAACTTCTGCACATATTTTTTTATATCTACATTCCAGACACTCGCGCGACGACCGCTGGATACAGATGGCTTTCTCATTCTCGAAACTGGTCATTACGCTGGATGGATTCTCGAAGACGTCGGGTCCGGTGGTGAGACATCCTCAAATCAAGAACGGCTACTCACAAAGGAGCAAGCTCTGGCTGCGATTCGTCGAGTTACGACGCTTTTGAGTTTCATGATCGTGTAAATATCTTCGTAGTTCTTGTGTTACATTCGCAGGACTGTAACTGTATGCAGCAGCAACGTGAGAACTGACGCGGCTTCTAGTATCCATGCAGATCTACTTGAAATATTCTTCTTCTTATTTTTGCTAATGAATGAGAATGACTTTCTCCTCTAAGACCGAACTCCGTTTGAATGGCGAATGCGTGGTACAGGCGCGACAGGAGCAGGCGTGGTTCACGCCGCTTCATCTAGCAGCAAGTCGGGGATTGCTGGACATGACTTTTTTTTTGCTTGACAACGGTTTAAGGCTGCATTGACTTTACAAGGATTCTCTTCTTGTTTTCCCTTATGATCCAAATCAGGGTAATACCAAATACCGGAACCATTCAAAGCTACAACTTCCTCTTTAAACAGGGCAGATCCGTTTTTACGATCCCGAAATGGCCATATGCCCATCCACGTAGCTGCTCAGTATGGCTTCTCTGCGCTAGTAGAGTTCTACCTGAAATACGTCTTCTCCGGATGCGGGGATCGACGTCGGGGCATCCCTGTCTTACTCGGAAATCCGGATTTCGTCATGGCTGGAGTTAATGTTAAGAGTCGTTGTCTGTTAAGAGTGCGTGCTGATGAAATCCACAAGTGGCACTTGTGCTGAAATCCATATCCACTTCCATCCAAATTTAGTAGACGTCTTGATCTTGTGACCCTTTTCGAAAAAACATAGAAATATGGGACATGAACAATATGATGCTTCGCAGCCTGAACATAATTTTCTGCCTGAGTCTGAGACAGTTCTAATTCTCCACCAAGCAGTCATGATTCTCACCACAAAAAAGGGGCTGCGGCATTGGATCCGGAAACAACGCCGCCAGCCGTCTACGTCCTGCGCAAGACGATGATGCAGAACGGCTTCAATATCTTCACCCAGGCTTTTCCACCAGGATATCTGTCCGTCTTTTCTACGGCTCTGCTTTTTGGAAAAACGGAGATCTGCGAGCAACTACTACGGTGTGTGCTTGATGGTACTGATCACTTGGCGTTGGCTGCGGACGGTTCGTCGCCACGGTCGAGGATCAAAACAACTGGTTCTTGCAATACGAATTATAGATTTGCAGCTGCTACGTCGAGTCGTTCGTTATCTTCGACCACGACTAGACAAAAACCTTCAGATCAACAACACAGAGGACCGATGAACAAACAAGCAAGTAGCACTTCTTCCGACGTTCTCACGCATGACCCAACGCGGCTGTGGCGAAGTCTCTCCAATGAGGTTATATTGGAGTGTGTGGAAGTGAACCCAGCGTTTTTTTACCGTTGGTTCCTGGAACCTATCGGGTTCTTTCCGTCTATTACTCCTGGAAAGGGGAGCGCTAATGCGATTGCAGCCACAACAATTATGGTCAGCTTTTTTCCATCATTCTCGGCATCTTGGTCCCGTCGTCCCTTGTATTCTCGTGAAATACAAGGTAAAAGGGGTCAAGATGAGGGGGCCGAGATGCAATCTTGCAGACTCTAAAACAAGACAGCCAAGTACTAGTCCAAGCAACAGCAGAAACAAGAGGACTTCAAGTGCGTCCACCTGTCTGATCGGATTTGATGGTGCGGGAGCTGAAAGTCTCCCGGATTTCTTCGACGTGCGCACAGACCAAGGGAATATCCTTCACCATCTTCTACGATCCTCACCTCAAAAAAGCGGCAAGAATGTCAATACGTTCGCGCGCATCGTCGGCACCATAGTTCTCTGCATGCATTTGAGAAAGGCTAGCTTTCTGCATTTGCTACTCGAGGGTGCAGTGGTACACGGAAACACGCCCCTGGCGTCAGCATGTGCGCAGACCGAGGCTGTGGCGCAAAGTCGAGATCTAGACTTGAAAATCGACATCGTGTTGCAAAGTTTGACTGCGGTCTTGATGAAAGAACAAGGACTAGGACAAGCAACAAGTCCTAGTTCTAGTGACACAACTACAGCCAGCTTATTACAGCTCTATGTACGAGGACAAAATACGAATCGCGTGGACCGGTTGAACGCTATAGGAGGAACGACTGCCGTTAGAAGTGTGAAGAGTCAAACTTCATCCGACTTGGATCTTGGCGGAGAGAAGACTGCAGCTGTAGCAGTCGACCACGGGAGTCCAGAGGAAGCCCAACCCCTTCTCGTTCCCTCTGCGGTAAACCTTCCGCAAATGGGGTATCAAATCCTGGATCATTCTGGAACGGTTCTACGACGGCTCATCGCGCAATTTGAGCAGAGTCAGAAGATGAAGAACACCAAGAGCAGTTCACTTCAACATACGGAGCAAATCACACCTGAGACCGCATCAAGCAAAAGCTCCTTCGTTTCTCAACCCTTCAATTTGCCTCGAATTCGTGGTTTTCACAGTAGAAACGCGTCTACGCGTCAGTTTCAAAGGGACGGCTTACTTCCCTATGCTGGCGGAAGCGGAGGGCTTGGAATTCTGAAACAATCGCGGACGAGATCCTCTGTGTCTGCGACATCAGGACAAGTAGAGACGATCAAAAGCAACTCCACCGAAGAACTTAAACAACTCGAAGTACTGGATGAATTTCTGCGTGTGGTACTTCCTGAAGTACTAGCTCGATTTACACCTTGTTCTTCTGGAAGGCACGATGCTGGAGCTGCAGCTGGCGACAGCTCGGCGACCCAATTACAACAAGCATCAAAAGTCGATAAAGTCTTTGACGCAGCGTCCTACGGCATCGACATGAAGCAAGCGACCGAGGCGCTGAAAGCAGGTCTGATGGCAGCTGGGAGTAAGTCGCCAGGCAAGCGAGGAAATAACAGTCAACAGCAACAAGTCCCTGGCCTCCACTTCGGATCGCTAGGTGAGAGCTCGTACAATATCGATTGTCCAATGCTGACTCCCTTTGACGAGCAAAACGTGGTACATGAAACCGACACCCTCTTGCATCTGGCGATTCGCCATGGTCGGGTTCCTCTTGTGCGTCAACTGTTGGGCTTTTTGGAGGAACATGGTGTGATACCAGGGTCTGCTCTGATGAAGATGACGGCAGGTAGCGGTAAGAACGTGGTCAAGGACACGACTGCAGCAGCAGCAAAGAAGACGACCAAAAGGAGTCTATTTTCTTTGCAAGAACAACTGATGCCCGAGGATGTTTCTGCACTACAAAACAACCTCGACACCTGTTGGACAGGACAAGAGCAATTGTTTGAGGAACAAAAGGATCAGGATGGACAGGAGGAACAAAGAAGAAGAGGAAGCAGACCTTCTTCTCCCAGCACCTCCAAGAACAAAAGTCCATCTAAGATGAACAAGAATCTAGGCGACGCAGATTTCCTCCGGACCGTTGCCAGCTTAACCCAAGGTTGCGCAACCGGTCCATCAGCGGTGAAGAAAAGTGCTGACGATGCAGCTATGGACTCGAATCTGACGAAGGCAGAGCGCATCAAGCGAGACTTTCTACGTGCTTGTGCTGCTGCGCAGATGGAGGAGAATGAAAGGGAGAAGCAGGAGACGGAAGCTGCTGTTGAAGAAGATGAGGATGGCCAAGAGGACCAAAATCCTCTTAGTCCTCGCTCAGCCGCTAAACGACGGGCACACCAGAAGAGCCTTGAGAGAAGTCGAACAATTTTAGAGTGTCCTTCCATCACGGGATGTACGCCATTGCACGTGGCTGCAGTGCATTCCAGAGCAGGCGACGCTGTAGGAATCGCTGAAATGTTGAGAAAGCAGGCTGGAAACTCGAATTCCGAAGATTTGCTGCTTCGTCGAGAGCAGCAAGAAGGGCTCACAGCAGCTGCGATGGCGAAGACTGATGATAACCAGAAGGCGTTTGGTGCTTCGAAGTAGATCGGGATATCAGATCTAGATCCACATTAGGTACACCAACAGCAAGATAATAGATGCCAAGACAACATCAAGTAGCTCATCAAGCATTTACACGTACTTACAACTCAATACTTTTACCCGATATGATCCATCTTATCATTGCTTACACGACTCACCGGTACTGGTACTACAACATCATGTGAGACCGAGACTCTAGTTTGATTCTGCTTCCTTCTTGTATGCTTAGAAAATTCACAAGAGAACAGGAAAAACGAGAGAAAGTAATAATCATCACCTATTGATTTACGGCACCAAACAAGATCACTTTGAGTAGCATGGGCGGATACCACAACTCCTAGCTGTTCCTCTCAACGAGAGAGAGAGAGAAAGAGAGCTGCCAAAAAGAGCACGCGAAGGTCAAAATAGGTGTCCCTTTACGTAGTCATTCCAACGAATAGATCAACACGGAGAGATACTTGATGTCAACATACGGATGACCCCTACTCAATCTCCCTTGACTTTGAATTTGATGACTTACCCCACGGGCATAGGAGTCCTTGATTTCCCTTTTGCTTTTTCCAAGGCTTCATTGAAGTGTAGTGAAACTGATTTTGTCTTCGTATTGAACAAATATTGCTGGTTCAAAATTTTGTTTGAGCTTCTACAAGATCAGAGGATTATTTGTTTGAGTTATCAACTGAGAGCAGAAAAGACCGACTACATTAAAGAAGAAAAAGAATATTTCGAAGAACATAAGAAGACTTACTCTGTTACTCCTCAGGTTCTCTGAAAAAATAAGTACTTGTCATCGTGATTCTCGCCCGCAACGAAAAGTACTCCACGCTTGTTCCCATCGACAACGCAAGGGGCTTCCCTTCGACAAAAATGTTCGTTCTGCATTCACAGGGTTCATCCTCCTCCTCATCATCAAGAGGATCGTCATCAAGAGGAAGGAACTCCGTCACCTTCACGAAGAGAAGGTCGTCCTGTCTGCTAGCTGCCTCTTACTGGTTCACAAATAACCCAGCAAGAACGACTATCTTCGGAGTGTCAGCAGAAGCAGTGGTCGCAGATGGAACGAAATCCACTACTTTAGAAACTTCCGGTAGCTGCGTTCTATCTGCCAGGAGATGTGAACGATTTCCCCGATTTGAAAACCGGCAATTCCGTGACACACTGGGAGAGGCGCATCTCGGAGTTAACGATGCAGGGTCTAACTGCATCCGCAGAGCTGAGGATTTTCATCACTGGTGCGGAAATGGACGAGAAAACCCTAAAGCAAGTGTCGCTGCAACGTATACACCGACTGGATTGAGTCAGGTTAGCACTTACAACTAAGTACTGGTTCAATCATTTATGATGGTCAAGTTGTAGGACGAGTAGGTACAGTCTGCAGTCCCGCGGTTTTCTCATGATATCTTCAATCGGTGCTCCGCAAGCTCATGCTTATGTAAGCAATCCGAACGACCAAAACCTCCCAGTACCTCCCATATTTTGACATCAGGTCTACCACCCAACCGCATGCCCCTTTGGATGGTCGTTGTACCATAAGAATTGCTATGTGCACGTTTGGCGTGCCAAGACGTGGTGGGAAGCTGAGGCATGGTGCCAGGAGCACGGAGCAAATCTATGCAGTATTCATGGGAAAGAGGAGAATGAGTTCGTTTTCACGCTGACGAAAGGTATTTTGCTACAAAGAACATCTACTAGATTCTAGAATAGTTGTATCAGATGAGGTGTTGTTACGACGGTCGTTTATTTGAAGATTCCGCTCCTAACAAACATATTTATTAGAACTATCAACATAAGTCATACTCAACACCACCAACATCAGTGCTGTGAAGCGAAGTCCACATGCCTTGTTACCGGCACGTAAGCATCAGCATACTTTCGCCCATCAGGTCTCTCTTCCTGGATCGGGTACCACGACACTGATCAAGATCAAGAATACACATGGACCGACAACACGAAAACCGACTATGAAAACAAGGCCAAGAATTGTACTGGGCGTGAAACCGAGCCCGACTGTGCGCCAAAAGAAACTGCCCAGCAGTGGTACGACTGGCAAGGGGAGGATAGAGGTACTTGTTGCTGTTTTTAGTTTGATTTCCCATCAGTAGGTCGTGCTGCCGTGTACTTGATGTACCACATTTTCATTTAAAGAAAAACAGTCGGTTCGTTTTCCCTCTTAGACTAGGAGTATCCCTACATGCAACACATTTAAAGCCACAAAATCAAAATGGTTGTCAGCATGAACAACGGCAAAGAGTCCCTCGAAAACCATGAAACCATCTCCATACAAGATCAAAACAAAAAGGTACTTGGGTCTGCAAAAAACAAGCCAAATGGGCTGTTGGTTTGATGCGTAACACCACGTCCTTACAGCAGCTAGCGACCATGGACTGGGAAGAGCTCAAGCGTCCGTGGCCAGAACAGGCTGTTAGACTCGAAATCCAGCGTTCAGAGGATGATGAAGACTACGAGGAAGCTCTGGAAGAGGAACAAGGGCTGAAGGATCAAATGAAGAAGGGTAGTTCATCTGGGGAAGGGGAAGGAGCTCTGTTGAAGGGGCCTGGAGCAGCTGTTCCGACAAGATCGACGCTTGCGAGCGATGCATGCGCAGCCGATTCAACTAACTGCATTAAAGTGTGAAAACGAAAAGACTGTCTACTACAGGGTTTCAACATTTTAGGTGGTCCGAACCTACCCCCTGGGATATTCGGGAACAACATTGAAGACAGCTACTTCTTTGTGTACTTTTTAGCCTATAATTAAGAGGGGCACATGAATTACAAAGATCCCCATTCATTACAATAAGAGATGCCTCATTCACATGTTGTGCAGGGACGTGGACGTCCTGTTTGTCGCGATTGATCGCCGAGCAGCAATTATGAAACAACTATTTCATTTTCGTTGATGCCCGTCGCTGATTTCGCTATCTACTTAAATGAACGACGCGTCCTAGTACATTTGGCATGCAACAGTTCTTGAACCACGCATGCTTCTATTATAGGTATTAAGGAGCGCAAGAAAAAAAGCAAGATAGATGAAGAATGGTCGCGGCTACTGAACGTGAATAAAGCGGCTACGGAACGTGAATAAAGGTGTTCACAAATAATGTTGCCGTTCCAATCGTTCCTGGGATCTTTACGCAGGAGGAGCACACAAGCACCTATGCACAGGCTGAATATTAATCATCCAACTACCTGAGAGGACGAAAAAGATATCGTCGAAGGACGCGCCACTCCGCAGCTCGTCCTGCCAAAGCTGAGCAACGAAATAAAAGCATCGGCGAGTCGTAACGATCAACGCTCTTAAGGTTTGAAACATAAGTAAGTAGATCTCGAAGAAAATTAAATCGGTTGTAAAGGCAGCAAAGATCACCCGGCAAAAAAAAAGATCCTCCTGGAGAGTCGACAACAAATATGTACCACAAATAAGTATTCGAAAACTAAAAATAAACGACTTACTGAATGAAATATGAGAGATAGCTAGCTTTGACAAGGCTACTCTTCCTTCTCATGATCAGTATCTCGGTTATTCTGCTCAGTTACTTGCTTATTTCAGTTTTTCGAATACAAAGAACCAGCAGCAGGATCAACCTTATTCTCAATCGACTCTTGCAGTTACACCTTTCTCATCGGTCCAAAGTGCAAAATTCTTCATCTCAAAACTCGCACCTAACTCTTACAGGAGGCGGAGCTCCGTGGCGCGTCGTTGAGCCATGATATTAATATTGTTTCATTTCGCGTGGCCGTCGTGAATTGTTATTTCTTCTTTATTTATTTCGGCTATGATGTGTTTACGTATGGTGGAGCAGATAGTTATCTTCTCGTTATTTGTTCTAATGTGTACTTAGGTCTAGTTAGCGATCTTCTTTGATCCTTTTCTTCAGTGAGTTCTTGATAGTCGTAACTTTTTTAAACTGAGAGTGTACTTATCACCACCTTGTATAATTTCGTTGATAATGAATCTAGTACATATAACAGCTTGATATCCACTTCCACCTCCACCATATCTTGATGCCATCCTGATTGACTACGCATACATAGCTAACTTGTTAAATAATTTTAACCTGTTCATTGAGTAGAAACAACAACAACCACCAGAAGAGGTATCATGTGGTAATCTTGTTTATTTTTTCTGACTACCCATTTTTTTACGATCTTACTACATCAAGAACAAAGAGAACAAAAAGATGCCATCTACACCTAGTACTAGCAATACACGGGGACCACAATCGTCCACCAACGAAGATCCGTGGGCTTTGCCTACCGCTTCCTTAGGTTTCAGGCCCAACACCGAATTGGAACCTAATGATTCCGAATATTATCCGCTAACGTCCGAGATACCAGAACATGGCTCCAGTATATCGTCCGCTTCTCGCAGGAGAAGAGCCGCTGGTGTCGGTGACCGGACAGACGACGCTGTTTTGTTCTTCCCTGCGCCAGGTAAGCGTCTCGATGTCGCTTTTTTTACGGAAGTGTACCAGAATCTGTTGGAAACAACAACTTCCGAATGTTGTGAAGATGAAGTAGAAGATGCAGCTCCTCAGGAGGAATCTCGAACTGTGTTGCCTGGTGGTCCTGCGACTACTATCGCAGAACGGGTGGAAGACGATGGGAGCCCTGCTGTGGAACAACCCGAGCCTGAAGACAGCAAGAACATGATAATCCAGGGAGATCGCCTCGTCGGGTGTCCGCTTTCGAGTGTGCCAGAACACCATGAAGAGGAGAGCATCTCTTATCCCCGTACGCCATACAATACTATCGCAACTATTTCGGGATACAACCCTGGAGGCACTGGGATGCTGACGCACGAAGATGACGTATATTACGGGAACGAGGGGACAAATGCAGCTTCACCTACATCTTCCTATACTAGTGGCGCACTGATGGGTGCACAAGGACGAGCGGAACATAGAGATGAGGCTGAGCGACCGATTCCTTCTAGTGGTACAGGAAGCATGTCAGATCGCCAGAAAGGAGTGGCAAGCTCCTCATCTGGGACGTCTTCCTATGGACGCAAGCTAGGTCACGGACATGCTTCCACACCAGGCGCATCTACTTCCGAGGGTGGAAAGAATAATGAGGCCGACCTGGGTCCATGTGGCGAAGGCGATGATCATGTGCATGATGTCGAAAAGAACGTTGAACCGGAAATGGAAGCCTTGCTGGATAAAGGTATTGCGAGTAAGCACAAGGAGCAGCAAGAGCCGCATTATTCCTTGCTTCTTGATGAAGATCAAGATCTTCAAGTAGAAGGACAACAAGAACGACAAGATCCAGAAAACCAAGTTGTAGATTACACCTCCGAGGACTCTTCAACGGGTCCGTTGCTTAGTGGAAATGCTAGCTTCGAATTCGGAGAACTCAAGGGACGTGGCGGTTCTGCCGAAGTCTACGAAGTATTCGATGGCAACGGTAAGCGCTTCGCTATGAAAGTAGTGTCCGCGCGTAGTCGCAAGCACTTGGACGGCTTCATTGAAGAAGTGCGCTTGTTGCAGAAGTTTGCTTCGTATCCTGCTCGTGAAGAAGATGATGAGCGACTTCTTGGAGAACCAGCAGGAGATCATGAAACTAATTCAAGTTCAACCGCGCGCAAGAGGAAGCCTCGAAACAAGAGCAAAAAGAGCATTGCGAATCGCCACATCATTCGACAGTATTTGAGCCGTGCGTTTGAGGAGAACTTGAAATTGTATATCCTCTTAGAATACGCCGATATGGACTTTCAGCACTACCAGAAGAGCTTCCTCCCACGTGGCATGGGTGTCTTTGACATTCTCCATAGTTGGGACCAGATGCTAGAGGCCGTAAACTTGATTCATGATGCGGGAATCGTGCATTTTGATCTGAAACCGGCAAACTTTCTTCTCGTACGCAATCAAATCAAGCTTTCCGATTTTGGTTTAGCACGTTCTCTGCAGGATGGCGCGACGCACGTGAGTCGACATGGTCAGTGCGGCACAGTCAGATATATGGCTCCAGAAGCCTTCTATCAGCCGACGCAAGCGATCACGCAGCAAACGATGAAGATGAAGCCCAGTTGTGACATCTGGTCTTTAGGGATCATTCTGTATTCTCTGGTCTATTTGCAGTCGCCATTTGAGCGTTTCGAAGGTTGCGGGAATCGAATCATGTTCGCAATCGCAGACCCGAGAATGCAGGTTCTCTATCCAGAACTTCCTGAAAGATTCCGCTGTGACGTTCCAGCACCTCGTCAGGAGAGCACTGTTTCGACGGATATCATGTCGACAGGCTACAATTTAGCCTCTTCGACGAACTCCCCAACAGCTGCGTATGGAAGAAATTCCTCTGACTCTTCGCACACTCTGTTTTCTAGAACTCACCGTACGGCAGAAGAGGAGTTCTCATTGGCTTTAAAAGTGATTGCGGTGCTGCAAAATTGTCTCCGCTATGCGCCTGAGGACCGATGGAGCAGCAAAAAGTTGCTAAAAGCATGGAAAACAGTCGCAAAAGCTCCTTCTACTTGTACTTTCGAGTGTTGTTGTAGTTATCCTCCTGAAGGTGTTGTAGATGTAGTAGAAGGTGTACGTGTACCACGTGTAGAAGGAGAAGAGCTGGTCCCCAATCCGTATCCAAGTGGAGTCAAGCATGTGAATTTCGATCGGGTGGTGCCTAATGAGGAGCTTTTAGCTAAAAAAAAAGAACTAGCTAGACAGGGTGGTGGTGTTGATTGTATAATTGGAGGTAGTTCTCCAGCTTCCTCACCCACTATGGGGCCAAAAAAAAGTCCGCCATGGAACCCGGCTGACTCCGCAGCAGCAGCACGAACAGGATGGCAGGGGGACGAAACGGCTCTGTTCCCTGCTAAGACGCAATCTTTGAAAAACGATCATGGTGCCAATGTTGAAAATTCTGCAACGTCTACTTTTTTAAGTGAACGTTGTAAAATGTCGAAAGACAATCACGGATATGAGAACAGCAAGAAGAGTAGTGGTCCTGTCCTAAAGTGGGTGACAATAGCCGTAATCACCATTGTCGTCCTTGCAGGAGTTGGTGCGGGATTGTATTTTGGGGTGTTCAAGAACGGGGGTCAAGCTCCAGCAGCCTCAAATGCAAATGCGTCTTCCGGCAGATATAGTGCAGCAAATACCCCACCAGCAGTTCCGACTCAGCCATCTTCTGGTGGAGGATCGCCGCAAGCAAGAGCGACGCAACCACCTGGAGGAGGAGGTGGCGGCTTCAGCGGAGGCGGTGGTGGCGCCGGTGGTGGTGGCGGCTACGGAGGAGGCGGCTTCAGCGGAGGTGGCGATGGCGGCTTCAGCAGTGGAGGAGGCGGCGGTGGCTTCAGCGGAGGTGGCGGTGGCGGCTTCAGCAGTGGAGGAGGCGGCGGTGGCGGCTACGGAGGAGGCGGCGGCGGTGGCGGCTACGGAGGAGGCGGCTTCAGCGGAAGTAGTGGCGGTGGCGGCTTCAGCAGTGGAGGTGGTGGTGGTGGTTCCAGTAGTGGAGGAGGAGGAGGCGGCGGTGGCGGCTACGGAGGAGGCGGCGGCCCCACTGGAGGCTCCACAGGAGCGGGAGGAGGAGCGGGCTTGAGAAGAGGAGACGACGGCTTCACAGGTTCAGGGAGTGGTGGAGGTCTTGCAGGACCTGCTCCAACATCAAAAAAAAAACCTGCTCCGAAACTAAAAAAGCCTGCAGTTGTTCCGCAGCCAAAAGAGGCAGTCCCCGCTCCCCCTCAACCGTATGCTATCGACAGAGTGCAAGACTGGAGGAGGGAAATAATATCCATTAGGAAGACTAGGATCGCCTGGAAGTACAGCATCGACGAGACTATGGTCTTCAAATGGCCAAGTATCGAAATCGATAAATTTGAATCCTACTTTTTTTTCGTCGCAATGGTAAAGCACTTGATGGAGAAGGAAGGAGAGGCTCTTCGAAAATACATCAACGAGCATCCAGATCTGCGTGTCTCAATGCCTTTCGCTGGTGCGCAAATTTCGACTGCAGCTGGTTCTGGTGCAGCAGCAACGGTGGAAGACGGTGGTGCTTCTAGACCTGACACAGTAGCTGCAGTAACCTCCGCTGTCGGAGCTACACGTCTAGCTTTGTATATCTTCGAGTCGATGCGGCGGCGTGGGGTCCTAGGTGCAGAAAAGTGCTTACATCCGGTCTTCTTCATAGGAGTAGATGACGAGGCACCGAAGCCGAAACGGGACAGCACCATTCAAGGAGTTGTCGTCCAACAAGAAGGACAGCAACGACAAGGACGAGAGGAAATAGAAGATGTGCCAGATGTACCAGAAGCTCCTCCAGGACCTGGGCTACGACGAGGAGGAGGACAGTGCAGCAGGGAAGGCGAGGAAACTGTGAGGAAGCTGCTCATGCCTCTACTGGACCCAGTTTACGGAAGGGAACCTACAGCAACTATGAGTGTGGTTGAACTTGTGAGTCCAGACGTGGAGCACATGCGAAAAGCGCTACCTTTATTGAAAAAACTACTTCTCGTCCCACCTAAGGGTACGAAAAGTACGAGAGGTGAGCACAGTACAGTAGGTGTTACAACTACAGGTTCTTGTAAAACTTTGGAAAATTGCGGTTATACAAACCCTGGTGACGAGTACCCTCGCAATGTCGTCGAGCTTTTTTTCTACCATTTCGGCTGTCCTGGAGCTCTGATGCGGTATTCCCGGAATGAACAGTACGGGATTCGCGCATACGCCAGAATGGCGCAAAAACGTCGTTCCCAATACAGCGACAAAAATTTCGCGGTACATACAGCCACTGCTTTTTCCTCTCCGTCTCCCGTGGAGCCTACATCACACCCTCAGGAGCAAGTAGGAGAGGTCTTCGATAGCTATAATCCTAATCCTTGGGGCTTGCCCCCGTGGGGAGGATTTGAAATCTCGGGAGGAAATTTTCGGAAAACCGACGGTGACAAAGCGTTGGACCTATTGGAAGATATAAATATTACCTTAAAGCTCTATATTGAACACCGCTGCTCGGAGAATGCCATATTAAAGTAACATGATGACTCATAACTTTTCGTTGTAATTAATACAATCTTCAATCTTACTAATCAGATTCAGATCAATCAGATGTGCTTTATATAAAGTAACACCGCTCGTCCTCTCCCTCCCTTGGAGGTCACATTTATATTTGAAGTAGGGGGCAATGAATGCAATAAAGAATGAAGCTCAAGCTTTAGTATCTTCTATTCGAATTAGTTTGGAAAAGTGGATGTGCGCGCTGAACCGGCAATAGACTCTGTCAGCAGTCGTCTTTGCAGTTCCATTTTATCTAGAAGCATAGACTTTGAAAAGTCCTAGGTATGCCTCACTATTAGAATTACTTAGTTTAGTTTAGGAGCTTCATTCTTGGCGCTCATCCGTGTGCGTGTCATTCTTGGCACTCATCCGTGTCTTCATGTATGTTACCGGTAGAAAGTAGACCGTCCTCTAAGCTTTCTTTAAGCTAACCGAACCTAGTCCAAAGCTAAGCTAATCTGTCCAGGACCTATAGCCTAAGCTAGCCTTTTCGTCACCAATCACATCATATTGTATAAACGACCATTCCGAGGTCGAGACACCCTATCCTGTCTTATCTTATCCTATCCTATAGTATACGTTTTTTTTTTATCGTTCGCACAATAGTAGCTGCTGAGTACCTTCTACTCCATGATACGTGGTTTTTTCTATTCCTTACCAATGATATCAGAAAGCAACTACTACCTCCTAGGGGCAAAGAACCAACATTCACAAGTAGGGACCGTACCAAACGAAGCATCTTCATCACGACTTTGCATTCCATGAAGATTTCTTTCAAGAATCTATCCCTTTCCCTCACCACCTCCTTTAAATTTTGTTGGACGAGAACATGAATCAGTGAGTCTCCTTCGTTCAAGAATCAAGCTCCACCCCTTCTCCTTTGATCCCTGTAACACGAGACCTTGTCTTGGTCTTGGAAAACTTCTAGAAGTGTAATTACAAAAACAATTCTTCATCCACCTCCTCATATGTACGTCATACAACAACAATTATTGCGTTAATCCGCTTGAGGGAATCTTCAGAGAGTGACGAGGGAATCTTCAGAGACTGAGGGAGAGAGAGAGCTCACCCATTGAAACTACCATTGAAACAAGGTGAACGAGGAGGTGGAGAAGGAGTAGAATCGCGCCCATCAAGTCTCTACGAAAAGTAAAAAAAAGAGGCACTAATATTCAGACAAGATGAGACACAAGTAACTCCGAACAAGTAGAAGAGATAGAGATCACAATAATATGATCCTCCGCGGCCGCCGGCGCGCCGGCCGGCTTGATGGAGCACCATCTACTTGGACTTCCCGAACAAGAATGCCTTCAGGAAGTAGAAGTGCCTCAACGTCTACAGGATCATACCAAAGAAGAGGTCTTTTACTACTTCTCTTCTCCACGACTGCTGGGATAGAAGTTCTCGTGAATGCGATTCGAATAGCGGTATCATCAAAATCAAGGTCGCAAGATGAACGACATCAGGTATCCGAACAACACGAGCATCCATTCACGGGATGGTCATATCTTCATCATGGTCAGGACTGGACTTATGGGCAATGCAGTTCTCGCGAGAGGCAGTCCCCGATTGACTTTGACGCATCGGCTCCTTGGAATTTGAACCCGCCTGATCCGGAACAATACTATGCGAAAGCTGGGAATCGGTACTTTGGATTGTGGATAATATTCGTATTCTACGTACTATGGGAAAGCTGGGAATCGGTACTTTGGATTGTGGATAATATTATTCGTATTCTACGTACTATGCGAAAGCTGGGAATCGGTACTTGAGGTGGATAGTACTAGTACCAGTACTCTAGCCGGTCTAGTATTACAAGATGAAGATAATTCCTTGTTAGATGTATCGATTAGAACGGGAAAACCAACAACATTCAACAGTTGGAAGTAGATGAGCATTGTCTTAAAACCTGAACATGAACATTTGCGGTGAAACTGAAACCACTTAAAGAAACCACTAAGGCTCTCGTTCACAACCAACAAGCAACTCGTCAGATTCTATTTCAACTATGTGGACGTGGATATGCCAGTGCCCTTCCAGAACGATGGGCATGGCTTGTCGGTAAAATTTGCTGGTATCGGATTGGGTGGCATTACTTTTGATTATGAGACGGAACAAACTTATTGTCAGTCTGCATATGTTGAAATGCTAATCTATCATGCAAAATAGAATAGATGTTGTTATGTAATCACGTTTCTCTTTCCTCACGTTCCCCCTTTCCTTCATTCTTGAGACGGGTATTACAACCTGGTGAGTGCGAATTTTCACACGGGCTCGGAGCATACTTTCAAGGGTGAACGCTATCCGTTGGAGGTGCATCTCGTGCACAAACGGTACGACAGTGAAGCACTTATTGTTATGGACGAGAGCAGATGTACTACACCCAGATCTGATGTAGGAGAACAGTACACAACGACCCAACATGATGGATTTGGGCACAAGAATAAGTTGTGAAGTAGCATCATGTCATGGCATGTCAGCGGTAATAAAGTTTTTCGGTATTGAATCAGGATCTCACGTACCGTTGACTGCTTAGCACATAAAGATTATTCATTCTATCTTTATGCACCGTTGACTGTTGAGCATAAAAAAATGATTCATTCTACTACTACTCCTACATCATCCTCCAATCTATTAGCTGCCTTACCAGTCATGTTTCGGAACGCACATGATAAGACCACAGGCGCAGCAGATGAGAACAGTGTGGAAGGTGACGAACAAGCTGGCTCAGCTCTGAACAAGTGGATTGACACTCTGGCAGAGGGGTACAGAACCGCAAGAACAGCAACGAGGAAGGCAGATGTGGAACAGCTCAAGGGAACAATGGTGTTGAACAAGTCTTTGTACTTCTACTATGATGTGGAGTCTACTTAGTTGATTGTTCAATTGGGAGGCAGCATGTAGTTCTAAGGAAAAAAAAAACTACACAGATCTATTTGTGCGAACGAATGAGTGAGTGAATGAAGAATGAAATGTGCTTTACCAATCACATCAACTGCAACTGCCTTCAACAACATCTCAAGAGGATTCATGCTAGATTATGCTCTCCACTATATTCACGACCACATTCATTCACATTCTCGCGTACCCAACTACCTCCAGGGCAATCGTGCAGTTTTCGCTACACAACTCGCAGCACCACCAATCCCTTACTCCATCAACAATTTCGTGGGAGACAAATCTGACTATTTCCGCTACAAAGGATCCTTCACGGTTCCTCCGTGTCTCGAAACCGCTATTTGGTTCGTCAAGAAGACTCCTCTCGTGGTTGTTACAGGGGATGATGGCGTAGCGTTTCCGAGCAAGATGAAAGCAAGTGGAGACGCTTCAGAAGTCTCACTCCTTAGGCATTTGTTGCTGGAGGATTCTGCAGGCAATGGCAATTATCGGGACGTGATGCCGCGACAGGGACGACCAATTACGTTGGTGCAAGCAGTGCAAGGTGATGGACCCCCGAAGACCATGCAAGAGGATTATGACTTTCATCTTTTTGTGAAACGAAATAGAAGTTGAAACATTTTTGACGTTCAGAAGTGTAGCTCTCGTAAATGACAACACAAGAATTTGGTAAACAAAATAGAAGGAGGTCCTCCTTCTTGTACAAACTGGTGTATCGGATGTACTTCTCTTCTTCCTCTTCTGGAACGTAGCCGTGGGTACTTATGAACGTCTACATAGACGAAACCGCCTCTAATACAACGACCTTCCGCTTGCAGCGACCGACGTGGATGAAGAGATTGCGGAAGACGTAGAAAGCGGGTCCACAACAGCTGGTTCTGGACCTATTGAACGGATGCAACGTGGCCCGTCCGAGCGCGACCTCGAGATCCAGCGTTTGCGCGCGAAACCAACAGTCTCGCCATTTGAGGGGTTAAAGTCTGCGAGGCAGGCACAGAATTATGAATTCGACATCTTAAAAATACTTTCTTTGCTCATACATGAACATGAGACCTCCTAACGACCACGTCATCATGTGTCCTCCCATTTTTGAAGTTGTTGTGCGTTGGTTGCATCTCCCGATGAGTAGTAACAGATGTTGAATGTGGTCTTCCTGGTCTAACAACAAGCTTCCCAAGCAGCCTTTGATTCCGCTACCTTGATCGGCGGAACAGCACAGAAGTCGTTGGATCGAGACGTTGAGGATCAGGATTTTCTCAAGCGCACCTTTCAGGCTGCGGACGCGAAAGCGATAGCGGCAGGTGTCAATTTCAACGTTGGAAGTAGTGTCCTTGGCAGTTCTTCTCCGGGAGTGCCGATGCCGATGGCAGCTGTGGGATCTGCAACTCCCTAATGCTGGTCGTGGAGGTCTGGTCGTGTGATACAACTACTTGATCAGTCGTTCGAGTCAGGAAAGCGTGGTTTTTTAGGAAGAGGCAGATGAGGACTTCTTCAGCGCTAGTGGTGGGACGATACCTATGTATTATCCAACTCTACGTGAGACGATTCTTAGCTGTCTCACGTAGAGCTGGATAATAGGTAGTGCACAGCGGATAGATAAACATAAAAATGTACGACGGAAGATAGATGTTGTTAGCAGTTGTCTTAGGGGTGCAAAGATACTTAGGCATTGATATTGATTTCCTTTTCTTTTCATGATCTGTTAAATGAAGCCAAGTAGGCAATTCTTTTTTCCGATGTTGAATGATCGTTTTCGCGTGTAAGTCTTCCGAAGAAGCTAGTGAGGCTAAGGAAATAGGGATTTGTCGATGGTCCGCGCTCTCCTGCGAGTTGAAAATGGTGACAAGGCGTTGGTCTTCGAGTAAAGCGTGTCGTGTTCGAGTGAACTTTTTTGTTCTCTGAGATTGAAGACCAAAGCGTCGGTGAGTCTGAACTCTTGTAGATCCGTGAGCACTATCTGCGTTGACTAAAACCTGCGCGAGGAGGGTACTATGAACAGCACCGTGTCGCGGCTGTGTACCGAGTGTCTGAACGGTTCCAAATATCTTGCGGCTGGTGAACAAGCGTTCCAAATCTACTGATCTTCGCTGAAGCAACTGCGTGTGTCGTTCGCATGGTCAATGCTCATCTATGCTGCTCCTGCAAGATAGAGGAAAAGGCGGCGCAACATATCGGTGCAATGACACGCTACTTCTAAAAATCTCTTTAGAAGATGTGATCTTCGAGTGTGGAAGATCTGGTAAAACTGGCTCTCCGCTAGACTTCATTCCTTTCAGGCGACGGAGTCACGCAGCGTTTGTGCATGGGGTTAGTGGCGTCAATTGAGTGCAGTTCTTGTCTGTCGTGGTGTCTTGCGTGGTATAGGCAAACTTGTGTGAGCCTTCTGGGTCTGATCGAGAATATCAGATGTCTATACCTTCAACAACAACAATGGACTCTATTCAATTTCAGTCACCTTTAGGTTATCCACTAACAAGAACAACCCGATCGTTCGTTCGAAAAGACTACTCTCTGAGCAGTACTTGTTACTTATACTTGTTCCACTTCTTGTTCTTATTACGTTTACTACGCATCTCTACAACAACTTGATCTTGTTCTTGCATCACCAGTTGTTCTTGCATCACCAGTATCCATCCGCTTCTGTTCGCAAAGAAGAACAAGCAACAAGAACAACAACAACAACAACAACCCATCATACAAGATGACCGTCCAGTCGTCCACGCTGCGTGGCTCTCCACGACACGGAGACCACATCTCGAACTCTACTCCGGCCACCAAGCCCAACAACAATGCCAAGGCGCTCCAATCCATGGCTCCCAGTCCCGCTCTCAAGCGTTTTGATGAGGGCTGGAAGAACTTGATGCACAACGCTCAGCAGTCCTCACTGGGGAAGACCGAAGCTGCCATGTTGTTCGCCTGTCACCAATCTTTGAACGAATACGCGATGGACACGGCCGCGTCGGCAAACCCTTCAGGACCTAATATCAACGCTCAGGATGCTCTGATGATGTCTCAGGCAGGCGGCTCGCAGTCTCAGCGTGGCTTCTACTGTATTCTGATCGGAGACCAGACGTCAGGCAAAACGACCCTTCTCACGCGATTGTCGAAACTTATGGTGTGAGTTGTAGAATCTACAGAAGACTGTAGAACAGCTAAGAAATCTAAGATTTCTTCTTCGTCGTGTACTACTATCTTCTTCTTTCAAGAACGAGGACCTCCATCTTGTCGAGCACAGTAGACAAGTCCTCGAAAGCTAGTCTTCTTCTAATTTCCAAGCTGCTTTCGTGGTGAAAGACGGCGTGGGAACCAAGGTGCGCACTTTTGTTCAGGTGCGCTACAATCCGACAGTTTCCGAAGTTTTGTGCACTTTGGAGTATACTGACCCCACAGACGGCGTGCGCAAAGTCAATGAGGCCATCCCTGCGCGTCAGTTATCGGAGGAGTATCACCACATCTATGGGGAGAAAGCACGATACGATTTCGTACAATTTTAGTTTTTCTTTTTTTGGAATATGGAATTGGATTCTCTGTTTAGATTTTGATTTGCTTGTAACTTGGCCAGGTACAACTAGGGTCAAACTTGAACAAGTACATGACCATGACCATTGGCTGGATCGTCATGATTAGTGTCCCATTGTGAGCTGTTGTGGGATTGTAAGTAGTTTAGTTGTTGTATACTCGGAAAATACAAGTACAAGTTGTCTTTTTCATAGTCACTCTGCCTTGCACATGGAAAACGTTCGTGTGGAGCGTGAGGAGGGATCAATTTTTCATCCAGCTTTCGAAATTTTGAGATCTTCTGACATGATTGGTGAATAGTTCGTTGACTCACGAGTTGAAGATGGAAAACAAGTATTCGAGGTCGTCTCTCTCCATCTTCCTCATACCAGTTTCGACAAAGACGTTTCTTTCAACAGTAAGACATTACCTCTCTCGTCCCGTCAACACAACTACAGGCCAACGTGACGCGAGTGCTCGTCGATGTCCCGGAGCCGACTTTTGGGCTCGCGGTCTTGGATATGATGGGCCTGACCGCGAGCGTGCCTGAAGAACAGATTCGAGCTTTGATTGATATGCAGCAACGCATGGTGACGGAAGAACTCCTTTGCCCGAATCCATCTGCCATCGGCGTTGTCTGCCACGCTATGGACAAGAACGTCTCCGACGCTTCCTGGCCAACACATTTGGTACATGGTTATTTGAACCAAGTAAAGTTAAGGCACAGAAAAACCCAACCCTTTACACAGCCCATTCTTCTCATTCCCCTTTTACACAAGGGGAATCCATACTGGGTTGCTGGCGTAAGGTTGGGCTTTTCTCTTCGCTAATAAAGGCTGGGCATTTGGTTGTGGTGTTGACGCGCATGGACTTGTTGCAGTTGAGCACCGTGGCCAGAATGTTGATTGACCAAAACAAGGGTCATCGACCGGTCAAACTGAGTCCGTGTGAGTTGTTGCAGCGAATTCGTGCGGATTTTTTGCGCAAGTGCGGATTACCAGATACTGTGCGCATCTTCTACGTCGCTTCCTTCGCTGGAGATTCGCAGACCCTGTTGTGGGAACCAGATGCCTTGAAGCGCTTCGAGCAGTTCATCAACAACCGCAACTACGGCGAAAAAGCCACTGAGGCGAAAATGTTGCGTCTATTGTCCCTGGACGAGCGCGCACGCTGGGCTGAAGAGGGCGTGGAGCTGCGTGCGAACAGTGAGGCCGAACAGAAGGTGTTCGATTCCATGGTTGGTAACAACGCTGTCTTCTCCTTTTTTTAAGGGTAGGTTAAAGGTGCTTTTCTTACCGCTTTTTATGCCTCTCCTAAGGGAGAAAGGCATAACAAGCGGAGTAAGCGAGCACCAAAAACCTACCTCGTCTAATTTTTGCTGCAGAAGCAATTGGAGGAACCGAAAAAACGCGCTGCCGAAGTCACTGCCGAAGTCACGCAGCGGTTCACCGCAGCCTCGCGAGCTCGCAGACAGTGCGAGCGCGATTTCCGTGGTCAGGAAAAGCACAAACTAACCTGCGATGTCCAACAACTGCTGGAGCAGTCTGTCTCGCGCTTTTTCGAACTCGGCACGCAAGGTGGACTGGACCCTCAGGATGCGGCCTTCAGCTGCTTCGAGAAGATGGAGCCTACCTTGGTTATGAGACTGGTTGTTGAGTTTCACGGTAGTAGACATAGTTCTTGTTGTAAGTGTAACCTCCTCGACCACTGGTCCTCTAATTTCTAGACGAGAAGAAGCGTGAGTGAGATTCGATTTGAAAATTGTCGTTTTTTTGTGAACTCGAAGGAAATGCTCTAACCACTGCTATACCCTCTCCGAGGAACGTCGGGTTTGCGAGATTTTGACGGATGGAAACTTCCCGCACTTCCCAGAGGACGGCAACTACGAGTCGCCGCATATCTTGAACAAGGATATGTACAGTTCGGAAGAGCAGATGGATGGAGAGGAACCGATGGTTGGCGAATTGTTGGATTCAGGTACTCTTTTGATTTTGTGAAGCCCATGGCGCATAGCCATAGGGCTCCTTGTGAAGCAGTGACTCTGTAACTTCTAAATCTGTTTTTAGGAAAGCAAATATATTATGATTTCCAGAATTTCAGCGTCCAAAACATCCGCTGACAGGTTTTGACGTCCAACAGCAACAGCTCCTCGCGAATGGCCAAGACCTCGCCGAACAAGAAGAAGGAGCCACCATCAGTCGCAACTACTCCCTCCATGCCAGTAATGCTAACGCTAGTCCCGTCATTGGTGCTGATTTGCTATCGCAGAGCGCCGAACAAGCCGTGGCCCTTGGCAATCCGCGTCTTTCCGGTAGAAACCTTGTGACGGCCCAGAAAAAGCACATGATTCGCCAACTCTTGGAGATCTGTGGCACGGATCGTGCGAGTTCGGTGAATGCGAGGAACTACATTTACGAAAAGGTGTGAAGTTAGTTTTAGTGATGTGAACCTGAGAAGCTACTACTTGCTGTATTGATAGTGAACTTCAACGTGCTACATAGAGACTTGCTGTATTTATGGTTGCTTCCACTAATAGCACAAGGGTAAAAATACTGTCATACTTCAATCATCATTTGCCTGCTCAATCTCAATGATCCATTTTTTAGAAGACAAGTGCCTTAATTACTTATATTGATTTCGGCATCTTCTAATCCCCGCTGGACGTTCTCACCATGCGCTCCCTTCGCGACTACTACTTGATGCTCACGCTGTACCCGAAGCAGACTTTGGACACACGTGGCCTGTTGAAGCGATCTGTAGGCTCCAAGCGCTTAGACGTGGAGGAGGCTTTGCAGAAGAAGATCTTGAACGACTATGGTGCGATTTTCTATGGCGACCGTAATCAGGGAGGCGCGAACCTGTATATTGCGACGCGATTGGCCTTGAACACATACACCCAGATGGATGTGGCTTTGAAGACGGTACTCTTCGGCTCGTTTCTTCCACTCAAGTCAGAGCATTAACTCTCTCACCTACTTCTCAACCACAGTTAGTTTTGATTCTTGGCGTATATCGTGATCAAATTCAAATTGAGAGATGAAGAATACATCAAGGGGAACAACTTTTAACTATTATTGAACATATCTGACCTCACTGCCTCTTATTCTTCTTTACCAGGTCTGCTTCCAAGCTGCTCCCCAGCAGATCATTCGCTGCTCGACCCAGCATCAACGCGGCGCTCGTGCTCAGGGCACTCCCGAGCGACCGGAGCTCATTGGTCGCAACGCAGCAGTTTTGCGCGAGTGCAATGACGACTACCTGCTGGAGTTGCCCTTGGAACTCCAGGAGCTCAACACGGCCAACTGTGGTTCTGCTCGCGAGGAGCGCGGTCGTCAATATTCACTGAAGCAGGTGTTGAAAGAACGCGAACAAATGATGATGGAACAGGAACAAATGTTGGGTGGATATGACCTGGACGGGGACAATGTTAAGACTTTACTCCACATTACTACATCTTGCATTCACATCCTTGGCCTCTGGATTTCTTGAAAGCGGCAAATATCAATATGAGGTCAAGAATGTACTTTATCTGAAGAATGTACTTTTACTAAGGCTGCAACCTCTAAGAATGGCGCGGGAGCTGGTCTCGACTATGCTGGTGCCGATGAGGATGGTGATCGTAAGCTCGCCACACCGTGGGGCGACGCGCGACAGGTCTTGTTCTACTTCTTCTTCAAGCGCAGTCAAGAAGCTCTGCAGGAGAAATTGGACGCTGCTTCTAGGAGTCTAACTCGCACATTGAACCCGCAGATGAGTCTGCTGCTGCAGCACATGAACTTGTTTCTGTACCAAGATCCGCAGTACATGCGTGCTTGGCGTGAGACCTACCCGAAAGCTGGATTCCACAGCTTGTTTGACGGAATTGGCGTGTCAGCTGCGGCGACTCAAGCTCAACAGCAACAAGAACAGGTTGATGAGAATGGTAACATCATTGACCAAGATGGTACTAACGCTCCAGCAGCACTGACCGAAGAGGAGGAGCGCGAGCGGGATCGTCAGCGTCGTAGGGAGGCCCGGCGCAAGGCGCGAGAGCAAGAGCAATCGGAGGACGGCGCCTCCATGATCTCCACGGAGCAGGATTTGAGGCGTGAACGTCGTAAGTCACGATCCGAAGGACGCTCGAAGAGCAGTCGACGCAGTCACTCCCGAGCACCAGCTGGCGACGAGGTTGCCCAGACCAGTTTGGAGCAAAACGCTACAACCACCAACGGCATCGACGGCGCCAGCAAGCATCTATTCGTTGAGAACACCGGTTACTACAGTCATTTCAACCAGTTTATCGGAAATGCGCCGGCTAGTGTCGACCGTCTCTCCGACCATTTCGCTTCGTCGCTCCGCCAAAAGGTCTTGACTCCGCGTGATACGGCTTTCATCCTGTCCAACACGCTGAGCGCCAACATGACGCCGTTCCACATCGTGAGACCGGAGAACATCGCCATGCCGAACAAGTGTGAACCTACTTTTTCCGAACGCTCTATGGAGTTTGCTTACCAGCGCAACCTCTCTATGGCCGTTGTCCAGTCCTTGAACGCGTCTCAGTGGTATGTGGCACAAGAGTTGGAGCAGTACAAGAATAGCCAGAAGGAGCTCACCCAATACTGTCACGAAGGACTGATGTCGTTGTACTTGGGCTATCAAAAACCGGTGCCGGCAGCAGAGCGGCCGCAACATCAGCTCTTCTTCAGCCTGGAGTTCGTGATCCCGGTAAAATCGATTTTATAGGTATCCTGTAGTTATTAATATTATCTTCAGGATTATTCTTGAATAAATAAAATAAATATCTCCTCGTCCCAAATGTCTACTTCCCGCCACCATTAATACAGGTCCTCTACCGCTTCCGTTACGAGCTTTTCGCTGCTTTCTCTGAAGACGAAGAGTCCACGTTCGACAAGTCTGTTGACCGTGCTCGCGGCGCTTCCCGCTTTCTCCCTTGGTTGTCCTCAAAACGACCGATTGAGGGTTCAAACGCAGGTGCTCGCGAAGTCTCCTCGGAGCCGTCTCGTATGGAGAAGGCGGACAACTTCGACATCTCTAGTGAAGACGACAATCATTCGCCAGCAGATGGAGTGCCAGGTGTGGAGCGAATGTCGACCCGATCGACCTTGGACCCGCATTCTAGTGGCGCGGAAACGCCAGGCCGTATCAACGCGCGTGGACAGACTTTGACTTTTGTTAAGGCTCTCGTCTAGTAGCTAGTCGTTGTCATCTGCTAGTGGTAGTACTTGTGCTAGAAGTGAAGTACTTAGTTGTTCTAGTTGTTCTTGTAAAGAATTAAAATTCACCAGGATGAGTAGGATGTTAGTTCAGCTTCAGAGGGCTTTCTTTCAGTCACTACGTCGTTCCTCTTGTTTCACCAGTGTCTTACTTAAATTTTGAGTTTTCACCAGTATCTTACAACTTAAAATTTGAGTAGTTGCTTGCTTATTTCAGTTTATATCGAATTCGAATAGTACTTAGATATATTATTCACGAAGCCTTCGGAAGGCAACTACAAGGCTCAGGAGAAGGTTCTTCTGAAGTACAACTTGGAGTGGTCAGGACAATAGACTGCAGTTGTAGGACGATCAAGCTCCTTGTGATAGAGGATGAGGAAGGCAACAAGGCCACATCCACCTCGTCTAACTTCAGCTGGCTCGAGAAGAAGGTTCTCCTGCACTCCCCAGTCGCCGACGCCGTGATCTCGAAGTTCAAGAAAGCGCGTTGTGACGAACAGCGATTGCGCCTTGTCGACAACATCGAGGCCTGGAATGAGTACTTCAACACCGGCAACAAGGCTGCTCTGGACATCGATATGCTGCAGTTGTTGTCCCAGCACAGGTACGCCCACATGAACTCTGGTGAAAAGCTGGAGGAGAGAATGCTTGCAGCACGATCTGATGAAGTTTTCTGGAAGAACATGATGCGCGGATGCAACGACTACAGCCAATTTTTGGACACGCACGGTGATGATATGCTCAAGCTGTTGGAGACGACGACTGTGTAAGGGGCCGCGGACAGAAGTTGTACGATGAGTCTTCGCGGCTGTCGAATGTGTCCTCGTCGGAGTGGATACTACTTCTTGTTGCTAGTAGGAAGAAGTGCTTGCTTTCGCGCAAAGTGTAGTAGAACTAGAAGTAAGACGGGCAGAGTCGACGAGATGTCAGGAGAAAGAAGCAAGCACGGTATCAGTAGAAATGTAGTCGTAAGTCAGGATACACGAGGGCGCTCTTCGTGGCTCGGAAGTGGTGGTCGTTATGTCGGGACGTAGCATTGAAGATGTTGACCATGTTGACGACACCGTAGTTTACGGATGACAAACCATGATAATGAAAAATGAGTATGAAGATCACACGGAAAAATGATATTAGAGAACATCGCTAACGCTATAGCATACGACTCACATGATGAAATGATAGAGCACAACAAAGACATCTACATCATATCAGGTAGACTAATTTTTACATGATTGAGAGGAACGACAACGCCCTGTTTTATGGCATCAATTTGGATTGGGAAGCACCACATATTGAACTTCTTGTCCTTCTGTACAGAAAAGGTCGAAGTTTCGACATACAGCATGAGAATTTAGACTACTACTTACATCACTAACAAATATTGCCATTGATTTTTTCGCTTATGGTTCGTAAACTATTGCTGTTATTTGACGATTACTGAAGATGAATCCAGATGAAGATAATTTTTCTTTTCTCAGCAACCAATATACTCGACAAATATATAATGAAGATGATAACGACACGACATCGGCATGCTAGGTCAATCATTAGTTATTCATGATTTCTTTTCAATACCAGGTTGACATCGGATTGGTTTGTTTTCCGATTCCGAGAAGAATACTGGACAATTTCACTAGGACTAAGTAATCAACTGTTTTATTCTATCGATTAACAAAAACTACATCGAGCACGAACTCGTTTGTCTGCCTGGCGCACCGAGGGGCAATGCAGGACCAATGATTTTATGTAGGGATTGTTTTCTTAGAGGTAAGACCGAGGCAAGACCGACGATCATTCGTAGCTCAATTCGTAGGGATTGTTTTCTTAGAGGTAGTTGTCAGTTTCATCATATTCCTTGTTATTTACGTTGACCTACACGCTATCTTCTCTCGCGAAGCCGTTGCACCTCCTAGCACTGTGGCATGAGTGAGGCCCTTGAGTGAACTTAAACGAAGACGAACCGAGGCCCAGCGCGCAGCAAGGTGTTCATTCAGGTGTCGGTTTCGGTGCCTGCTGCCAAGACAGGCACAGGCGAAGATGTTCGCGATAACGAAGGACTACTGCTCCAGAACCAGCATTCTACTGCATAGGATAAGAAGTTCAAGTGAGGAATCATGCACACAGCCGTGTCACACAGCCGTGTCTAGCCTATACGCTCACTCCGTCACAAGTGAGCCCACTCCTATCCTATCCTACAAAGAATGATCAAGACAGGCTCGGGAGTCCATGATAGAGATCTTCACGACACCCACAAAAGAGATCTTCACGTGAGGACGAGAGAAGAATCAAGATCAAGTGCAGGTGTAGTAATTTTGTGTGAGTTGCTTAGGGTGGTTGTATGCAGGGCAGAACGCTGATCTTTAGTCGCTCCATGTCGAAGTAGCCTAGTACTTTTTTTTGGCGACGTCGGTTTACAACTTTTATACAGCATGCTCTTCAATCACGACGTGCTGTGATTTTATGTCGTTGTCTTTAAAACATCATGATCATGACGATGGTTTGCTCTTTCGTCTCACGATGCTTCTTCGATAGCGACCTTTGTGAACAAAAACATGAGTCCGAATCTTATTCAGATCATCTCCGTATTCTAGGCAAGACAAGGCACCCGCCTTGTTTTGAAAGAGTGAGAGAAGTGAACACTCATATGAGAAGAGTCCGTCGAGTTGATATTCATAACTGCTTCATCTATGATAGGACAGTCTATGATTAGCATGATTAGAATTCAAGTAGGTTCAAGCTTCAAGCTTCTAGCACATCTTACAATTACACAGATAATTGATTACTACATCTACATGATTTAAAACGTCTAACTTAGTACCCGCCTGCATTTAGGACCTTACAACATGGCACCTAACTACATGTCATCAATCTGAAGACTATCTCATCGGTCAATACTAGGTGGAAGGTTCCTGCCACCTATCAAAAATTCACTTGTTGTACAAGAGACATTTAATTGAAAAGACGACGACACAGACTGCTACCATACACACATTCATTTTTTTTATCCAAATTACGATTAGCATCACGCAGCATACATTCATTGCTTGTGATGATTTCGACTTTATAAGGAAGTAAGCATCTTAAAACTAGTCCTTCTTCAAAAACAACTTTTTTGTTGCCACGCACCACTACAAGCAGCATCGATCAAGCAGCCTGCCTGCCTTTCTTCTACCTGCAAAGGTCAGTGTGTGATGATGGGCTGACCCGACGCCGCACAAGCACCGCAAGCTCAAACTGCGTGAAGGGCTTCGCGTATCGGAAAACGAAAAAGGATTCGTAGAACCTGTTCGCTTACCTGTAGACCCGAACCAAGAGCAAGACGATGCCAGAGCTTGAAGACGATTGGCTCCAGCATTTGCTTTTAGGGCTATTCGTGTTAGTTTTGATGGTTGATTATTTAATTTTGAACTTCGCGGCGATGCTTATGTTTTCAAATTTCTAGCCTCTAATACCAGGTGGAAGTTCCTCTGGAGTTGACTCGACGACATGTTCCGTGGGCGGCGTGCAACTATTGGCTCCTTATGGTTTGTATTTTTGACTCCCACTTGCTGTGCTGCTACTTTTTCACTTACAGTTCGTCTTTCTCTTGATAGAAACATCCAACGAGTCCTCCCAGAAGATATGACGATCGTCTTAGGAGATATGAGGATGGTGGTTTCTCGTTCATTTCCACGCAGCTCCGGCTAACCCCCTAGATACGTTCTTAGCGGGGATCGGTGGTCCGTCACTGGCTGTCGAGAATCACGTGGTGGAGGAGCCGCCGAGAGGGCCTCCGTTGCACCTCAACCTCGATAATGATGTTGGGGATCATCGGGACATTTACGGGGATTAGTTGCTACCTGTAGTATTAGAGAAGAAAACTATATTTATAACATCAGACGATGGCATTGGCACGTTTGCTACCTGGCACTGACTCTTAAGTACTCATCTCGTTAGGATACTCTGTTTGTCGTAGGCATTCTCCCCTACCTGACAAGGACTTTCGACCTGCTCGGGCTCTCGACCCCCCTCTCTAGTGCTGTCTTTTTCATTTCAGCCCTATTGTTGACACAGGGAGTCCAACAGGCGGGATTTTTCCGAGTGATGAGCCGACGCCTCGCAACAACCTGTTCAATAACGCGCAGCCAGATACTATCGACACGCCGGTTGCCTACAAGCGACGGGAGGAGAATCGATCTGTAAGAATAAACTTGATCTGGATGTCTTGTATCATCTTGTAGTGGTTACTTCATGTTGCTGTTCATTTCATGATCTCCCGATGTTTATTCACTTCACCTTACATTCTCAATCTCAATGTCAATTCGACAGGGTCGCAAAGATCTTTTAGATCAGCAGCAAGCAGAATACGGATTTGCGGAGGCCCGTAGGAGCGCTGACTTTGTTGAAGGCTATCACAATTCGGCAAGCGACGCCGACAGGTAGACTCCTTGTGGTTATGCTTTGTGAAGATGTGACTGCTACTACTTTTTTCATTTCTATTTTTTACTTCACGATGAGATTCTGTTTTGTTCGCGCAATTGCCACATTGACATGCGACTCATTCAGCTCAGGTTCTTTGGGAATGTGCCTGCGAAGCAGGAGCACGAGAGCGATACTCTTGGCGGCCAAACTGACTATGCCGCGGGGGCGTCGAAGGACGGTATACATAGATACGTTAGATTTGCTCGCGTCTCTCTCTCACTTTGCCTGTACAGCTATGTTTCAAAACTACTACAGCTTCATCCTCAAAGCACTAGCCCCCTGGTGTGGTTCCCCAGGGGAAGGATACGATGGGAACCAGAGGCACTAGCTAGACAAAACGCACGCGCGGGCATGCTTGAACAGGCGCCACAATTGAGAAAAGGCCCGAGAAGTGTCAGCCTTGGCGGGGCGTCATCGGGCGCGTTGCCGCGGGGCGGCAAGCCTTATGAGTGCGCGCCGCTTGCCTCGGAAGGGTATGCGGATGCCTGGCAGGGGTGGAAGCGCCTGCGGGCCTATCTTCAAGCGGAAGGCATGAGCAGGCACATGCCACGCCTTGGGGGTTTGTTCGCTAGGCTCTGAGGCACTCAGAGGCCACGCCGGTCCGCGGGGGTTCAGAGTTGCAGGGCGTCGCCCGCGTGGCGCGGCGCTGCAAGCAAGTGACGCGACTGTGCGCAAGCAAGCGGCGCGACTGCATGAGGCCGCCGCCTCGCACCATCGGGCAGCGTGAGCCACGGGCTTGGGGGAGAGGAGAGCGCGGCGCCAAAGCGGGCGCCTCAAGTTTCTTCCAAAGCTCACGGCTTGGCTCAACTGCGTAAGGCCAGGGCTGGGGGGAGAAGAGAGCGGGGCGCCAAAGTGCGCGGACGCTTTTGCGAGGGCTCTCTTTGGCTAAGTCGTGCGATGCTGGCAAGGTGTCGCTCCGTAGTAGCACCGGCAACACCGGGGGAAGGGCCATCAGTGGGCTTGGATGGGAAGGGCTGACGCCGTCAGTCGCCTGCCGGTAGGGCGCCCGCACTGCGGTCAGGCCGAAGCTGCTGGCACTCCCGCAAACTTCTCAGGTTCTGGCTTTTCAAATATGGGTCGCCTGCGTCGGCAAGGCGGAAAAGAACAAGCTGGCCCGGCTTGCCGGCAAGCGCAAGACTGCAGCCGCCGAATGCTAGAAAGCGCCCGCGTTTTTGACTCCTTGCCGTCGGTGGGAGAAGGAGCCGACGGCGTGTTCTAACTGCGAGCGCAGTGGACAGACCAAAGTGCTGCAAAGCAGCAGCGCTTTTGTGTGTGAGGACTCTAAGGCGCGCAGTTCAGGAGGGGCTGCAACGTTTCCGCGATGTCTCTTGCTTGAGCATCTGGGGGCGGTGCTGTTGAACAAGCTGCGTGGAATCGCAAGAAAGCCGAGAACTTTTCCAAGGCAGTGGCTCCCTGTGTCCATTCCAGCAGAGATATGAAGACTTCGGAACGTATCACGAAACTGGCCAAAAGTATGGAACCGCCCACAGAAGGAGGAGGCCTCTGGGCGAACAAGACTGCTCCTTGCAAAGAGGCGCGGAGGGTGTGGGCTGCTTATTGTTATCACCACGGAAGGGCGTTCAGCCCAAAGCACTTCAAAGATTCCGCTGGCAAATCTTTGAACGATCCAGAAGCAAAGCTGACAGGCGTGGAGAGAGGCAGTCTGTTAAAATCTGCGGGCTTCAATATAGACAAGGGCGGCGCTTCAGTCCAAGGTGATATTACTAGCAAAGTGTCACTATCCACGCATGGGCGCACCGTGAGAACTCAGGGTAAAGGGGCAAGCCAAGCCGCGGCTTAGGCTCGCTCCAAGCTGCAGAGGAAGGGCGCCAAAGGAGGAGACACGGGCGGACCTCGCTGCGTACCAATCGGCTCGGCCACTGGAATGTCTTCGAATATTATCAAGCGGGTGCACGCGATGGCGACGCGATGGCTACACACGTCGCGCAGGTCGAGAAAGTTTGGCAAGCTTGGCTGGACAGTAACAAAAGCAAAAGCTCAGGCCATTCGTGGGAGCAGCTTGACCGAATGGCGCAGACGGTCCGGGCACTGTTTTGGGACTACGGCGCCCTGGTACAGAAGGCGGGAGGCTTCGAAGCATTAAGCAAGGAGAGGAAGCGTCGGCGTATCTTTTGTGATGTTCCAGCTTCCGAAGAAATGCATGCCAAAGACCAGCACAAGCTGGGCGGCAGTGTGTTGGGCGGTTCTGTCTTATCTTCGAGCGTTTGCCTTTTGCGGCTGCTTCGCTGAGCGACGCGGCCTCGCGGGCGAGTTGCTACGTGTGGCTTTTGGGTGTGGCACTGGGGGCGGCTTTCTCGTCGCATGTTGCTGCGAATCACCTCTGGGAAGGACTTGCTGAAGCAGACGGATGCGGAGGGATGCGCTCGCAGTGAGTCCTTCACCGTTTTGGGGGGACAATAATCGGGAGGGGTGGCCAGTGCTTGAACAGCTGAAGGAGCTGGAAGCGCAAGGAGAAAGAAACTCGGCGGGTGGTTCTTCTTGGGTGATCAAATGGGGCGCAAATGCTTGAGACTATGGAGAGGGGGCGCCATTAAATCAAGACACTCGACCCAACTCAAATCGAACTGGCATCGCTGTCGTGATAGGGGAGAACGTCTCGGCATTGCGCGGAGGGCTGTTGCGCTTATGGAGCAAATCCCCCAACTTTCAAAATTCATGCTTTGGCGTTGGCTTTCAAAGTTTATGCCCTAACTTTCAAAATTCATGCCCCAGCTTTCAAGCCCCGACCTTCGCAGTTCACGTCGGTCGGAGCTTTCAAAGGTCACGCGCTAGCTTTCAAAGGTCACGCGCTAGCTTTCAAAGTCGCGCTTTCTTTCAAGATTCATGTCCTAACTATCCAAATGAGTTGATATCTTAACTTTCACAAGTCTGCCATGTCCAAGCTTTCAGAATCCATGCGCTAACGTTCAAAATTCATGCCTTACCTAGCTTTCATAGTTCACCTATGTATCGCCTAACTTCCAAATAAATTCATGGCCTAACTTTCAAGGCTTACACTCATGGCCTAGCTTTCAATGTTCACGGTTGGCCTAACTTTCGGAATTCATGGCTTAACTTTTGGAATTCATGGCTTAACTTTCGGAATTCATGGCCCAACTTTCGGAATTTATGGCCTAACTTTCGGAATTCGCGCCCTAGCTTTCGAAAGAGTTCATCTCTTAACTTTCAAAGTTCACGCCTTAAATTTCAAAGTTCACGCCTTAACTTTCAAAGTTCACGCCTTAACTTTCAAAGTTCACGCCTTAACTTTCAAAGTTCACGCCTTAACTTTCAAAGTTCACGCCTTAACTTTCAAAGTTCACGCCTTAACTTTCAAAGTTCACGCCTTAACTTTCAAAGTTCACGCCTTAAATTTCAAAGCCCACGCCTTCACTTTCAAAGTTCACGCCTTAACTTTCAAAGTTCACGCCTTAACGTTCAGAGCTCACTTCTTAAGAACTTCCAAAATTCGCGCCCTAACTTTCAGAATTCATACCCTAACTTTCCAGGGTCATGAGTATAGCAAAACGCTGCGCGTTTTTGCGGCGTTGTCTCCGTGAGTGTTGGTCTTCAAAGTTCAAAACCCAAAACCAAAACTCAAAATCAAAACTCAAAAGCGTGACTCAATATAAAGACTCAAGGCCAAAGCTCAAAACTCAAAATCAAGACTCAAAATCAAGACTCAAAATCAAAACTCAAAATCAAAATTGCAAACCTTAAATTCTAAATCAAAACCAAGGCAAATCTTTCCAAGTAAAGAGATGGCGGCGTCACTGATCCACTTTAGTAACGAGGCGCGTTTGACTGTCCCTCACTTCATTTACCCAAATACATCATGATCATCGCTCTCTCTCACTTTCTTGCCTCTACCTCTAGTACAGCTATGTGCCTCCTCTGTTTCAAATCTACGACAACTTTGATTGTCCCTGAAAAACAGAGTCGCTCATTTTACGAACGAACGAAGTCGTGTTATCGCCGACGAAATTTCCTTTACCCGAGAACCTGGAAGCGAAAAATTTTCTTACCGGAAGGGAACGCTTTCGACTCAAAGCAGCCGCCAGCTGTGCACACAATTTGAGTGTACTTCATCTTTTAGTTTTAGCACGACAGCAATCTCAATCGCACTTCAACATCAAAATGCATTCTGTGCTTTGACCGAAAACAGGATTCCCATACTCTTTCCAGGACGTCGAAGAGCTAAACCACATGCTTGAGCTGGTTGACCGCGTCACGACCTTGGATCCGATTGATGCCGCATTAGTTGGGGACTCTTCATCTTCCTCAGAGCAATTGGATGCACAGGCACTGCTTGGAAATATGATGGCGAAGTGTGGCGATGATCATGACATCATGGCTCAAAAGAGTACTAGCGTGTCCTCCTATGCAACAGAGTTTCTGGGCGCATCCGCTACAAGTTGTAGTGATGCTTTATACAATCAGTCTTCTAGTAGCCGAAAGAGCACCATAGAGGGAGCGCCGGAACACATCAAGAACGATTCCCATGGTTCCTCTTCGAAGAACGGAGGAGGAGGAGGAGGACATTCGCGAGAGCTGATCATCGCGTCAAAAACGGGTGCACGGACGATTTTGCCCCTTGGTGTGTCTTCTTCTAGCAGCGCACTACGAGCTGGAAGCAAGTGGGACACAGGCAACGGCATCAAGAGTGAGAGGGAGAGCAGTAGATACAACAGTGGCACACGGACCCGAAGTCACGATGACGAGTACAGGGACAGACCTGACTACAACTACAACAAGACGGAGAGCCACAGAGACTACAGAGAGAATACTAGGGACTATAGCAGGGAGAAAGAAAATCGGGACAGACCTGCTTACTCTGTCTATGGTAGGAACAGGAATAATCTCCATGGATGTAGTTCCTGGGCTCACGAAGCTGTTGGCGCGGCTAGGCCTTGGTGGATGCATGGCGTGGACTTAGAAGACCGTGGTCCATCTGCTGCTGACAACTATTCCTCTCTAAACGGAGGTACAAGGGGAACGCGGGTGAACCTAGTAGACAAAACAGCATCATCCTCGTCCTCGGCTGGAGGGAACAACAATGTAGACCACAAAGCGTCTGTCTCAGCTACTCTTTCAAGTTGTGCAGGAACATCCGCGTTTGTAAGAACCACATCGACTGCGTCTTCGCAGCAACATGCAGCCAGTCAAAGTGGTGGAGCCGCCACCGGTGGAGGGGGCTCAGCATCGCAGAGTTCTTCGGTTTTGCCGATCCCTGCCAACATGGGTCGTCGTAAGAACCCAGACGCCAGAAAGAAGAGTCCGCCGGCTCCTCTGAAGTCGTCTCCCACTTCTGTAGATAAGCATGCTGAAAAAGAAAACGATAGTTGTACTAGAGCAGATCATAGACGTGGTACTAGAGCAGGACATCTTCATCATCACCAGGAGCATGAGTCTTCTACTAGACATCTTCATCATCACCAGCAGCATGAAAATGCACTACATAGTTCATCTGCGAATTACGATGAATACAACAATTGGGCTTCATCTTCGGCAACAACTTCTAGTGGCGTGCTAGCTCCTCCTCAACACCTACCTAACCCTTACGGAGGTCGTGAACAGGGAGTGGGAGAGACAACGTACTATCAAGATCATGGCTATAATCAACATGTTGGAGGACGCAGCCGCAGTGGTCATGAAGATTACGAAGCGACAGATGAGAGTGGCACGACCGGAGTAGTTTACAAATGCTTTAATGCGAGTACAGCAACGTCAGAGCATGTACTGACATCTGCGGTCTCTTATAGTAACGAGTCGACTACTGGCGGAAGCGAAGGTCTAGGAGCAGGAGGCGCAATGTCTCTATGTTGGAAAGATCATCATGATCACGTGAAGCCTTACAATTCCTACGACAAGGATCTTTTAGATGACTATGACGGACGAAGGAGTTGTAACCCTTTCGACGACCACGAGGAGGACGAGTACTTGAGCAGTCACCAAGAGAAAATTTGCGATGGCGTAATGTCCTCGTCGGCGTGTGAAGTCAAGAGGACAACAATAGAACACCTCGTTCAGGATGATGAACCTGAGCATCTTCAGAAAAATGACGAGCAGAAGGAGATTTCTGCGTCACCAAAAGGCGAAGACGACGAAGGGAATCACGCGAAGGAGAGTGACCTCGATAATCTAGAGAAGGAGCAGCTCTTTGCTTTCTTCGAATCGGAGTCGACGCCTCGACATGGAGGTACTGCTGGGTTCAATAAGAGCTCGAAGGGGAAGAACACCAGAGCTGATCAGGAAGCGTGGCAGCAATTATACCACGATAATTCATCGTCTTGGAACGGTTACAAGGGTGGATCATCTACGGATCAATCATATCAAGGAGGCTGTAACTACAACTACAACAGTGGCAGCTCCCGTGGAAAGAGTGGAGGTGGCATGGGAGGTCCAAGTATGTATACGTATAGCAGTAGCAAGGCTGGACCAAATAACAACTCTGCTGGACCAAATGCATCTTCTTCTCCGGGATACTACGGAAGCAAGAGCAGCTATCACTACAGTAGCAAAGGCGGTGGAGTGGGTAGCTCTTCCTATCTTCCTGGGCCGACGGGAGCCGCTGCTTCTATTGGGAAAAAGGGAGGTCCGTCGGGTCCTTTCTTTGGTGGTTTTGCTCCTTCGCATTCTTCGTCGTCGTCGCCGACGCATGCAGGCCTTACCACGCCAGGAGGAGCACAGATGGTGGAGCATCTGATGTGCGCCGTAGGGACTCCCGCAACAACCGCTGACTTGCTATCATCTACGCCAGGCACTGGGAATAAGTCTAGTCCAGGAGGTGCTGGCTCCTGTTCGAATACTTCTAACGCAAGTGGTGGCGTCGTGATGATGGTTCCTGCTAGTTCACATGCCGCGTTATATGTTGGAGGGCCGCATGCTGCGGTAGCAGGTGGAGTTGTTCAGCCCTGTCACTTACTTGGGCCTCCGGGAGGACCGCCGGGAAAGGGTGCGCCCTTAGCTCTGGGGGCTTTGATTAAGCCTCCAGTACCTTTAAGGCTTCTCCTAATCCAATTACTCGTGAAGCATCCGCGGTAGGGTCACTTTTCAAGAAGGGGGAGAACGAAGTGTCTCAGGATGATCTTCAGGATGGATTGGCGTGAGCTCAGCTCTAATACCTCCTCCACTAGGTGCTGTCGGGGGTTGCTCTCGATTTCCTCCGTGTAATTCTCCGCAGCAACGCGGGAATAACATGCATCATCCTTCGACATCAATTCATGGAACAAAGAGCGGTCAGCCAGGTTCTAAGACGAAGAAAGGTCGGCGGAAAAAGAAAGATGCCACTGGTAAAAAGAAGAAGAAAAAGAGGTCAAGATCGCGAAGTAAGTCACCTGCGAAGAAGAAGAGGAGCAAGCATAGCAGGAAAGACCGTATCACTTAAAGTTTTCGTTTTGATGGGTTTCGATAGATAAAGAAGATACTTAATTGAAATTGTGAATGCCTGATTACGCTTTGAATCCTTGATGAATGCTCCACAACTTGTATTTCGTTTACTACTCATAATTGATAGATAATTTCCCATCTTTTATTCCCAGCACAGGTTCTGCCTCATCTGCTTCAAGAAGAAGCCGACGTGGGCGGCCGAGTCGGTCCCGCTCAGGAGGCTCGCGGCGACGTCCTTCACGGTCTCCGAGGAACCACAGTGGCCCCCGTAGCCGATCCCGATCGTCCGCGTCTAGTCACTCGAGAGGTAGTAGGAGTAGCATAAGCCGCCGAAGCAGTAGATCTCACAGCAGCTCTAGGTCAAGTAGTCGGTCGAGGAGTAGATCTCAGCACAGTCGGTCGAGTAGATCTCGAGGCTCAAGCAGATCTTCAGAGGATCTTCATGGGGCAAAAGAACACGAGCAGAAGGTTATCAGTTCTTTAAAAGACGTCGACGACGATGATGACGACATGATGTACCACTCATCTTCAGCTGCGCCTTCAGGAGCCCGCGGAGGGCAGCATCCCAAAGTAAACAAGAGGAAGCATCCTCTTGGATTCATCAATTCGGCTATGGGTAATTACATGGGGCAACCAGCTGTTGTACCTTCTAGCAATACTAATGCAGCTTCGAGAAGTTGTAGTGCAGGAGACGCAGGAAAAGATGACGAAGGAAGCAACGCTGGACCCTCTGGTCCATCTAAAATCGAATACATCGCAGGTCAAAACGGTGATGAATCAGGTGCTGGACTAAAGCCAGGCGATGTCGTTGCTAAAGTGGGAAAACGGAAAGTCTTATGTCTTTTCGGTGCGGCTGAAGATAATGTTAAAGCTGGTACGTTCGTGAATGCGACTGAAGATAAAGCGCCTCCAGTTGCAGCTCCTGAATCCGTTGTGAATGCGACGGGCGGCAGTAGTGCTGGGAAGAGTCAGAATGGCGTCGTCTTTGGCGGTTCCTCGAGACACGAAATTCGTGGCAAAGACCACTACAAGAGACTGAACCAGCCAGGAGGCAGGAACTATTCTCCACCTACAGGCTCGGAACATCTACAAAGCGTTAATCAATATCCTGGTGGTCAGGGAGGTCAGGTGTTGCCCCACAACATTAGCAGTACTAGTGCGAATGGTGGGCAACAGCAACAACATAACCAAGATCAAGAGCAGGTAATGAAGGTCGTACCAAAAGGCAGGCGAGCAGTCCCGGTGCTTGGCCAAGGCCATCGCGGTAGGGACGAGAAGAGAAACGACAGAGGTCGGCGTCCATCGGCTCCGAATCGCAGAAACGGCACACTTGATACGATTTCTAGTAACCACAAGACTGCCACAACAACCCACCCAGCAGCTGGACACCCTCCTGGATCCAACTACCCATCTTCTTCATGGTCGAGCTTTTCATCTTCAAATGTCGTCAAACCAGTAGAGGAGCCTCTTCTGCAGCTGAGGCACAAAGATGACAAACCAGTACCTGAACAGGTGGTGAATGATAGGAAGGAGCCACGCACATTCACATTACAAGACCGATCTGCTAGCTCAACGACTGCAGGTGGAGGATCTCCTTCAATTTCCTCTTCGGCACCTAACTCGTCGTCAAGTGTTATACCACGGCCCGTCCTACGAGGGGATCCTGTCTCAGCAACGTCTTCAACGCACAATATTACAACTAGTAACGTTAGCAACAAAGGAGGTGGAGGAAATAGTGCCATTGCGATGCAGCTACAGCGCGTTCGAAAAAAGCGGGAGCAGAGGAAAAAAGCGGGAGCGATGGGTGATGAAAGTGAAAGCGCTGTTGGCGCCCAGCCTACTGCGATGAATGCTATGACCACGGGTGAAAGTGGAGGAGCTGCGCTATCATCTGCTCGCGACGTTAAAAATGCTTCTGTTGCGGTTACGAGTGAATTCGTGCAGCCACATCAAGGTGAGATTCCTATCCCAATCGGATTTCCGTCCGCTCCGGAAGAGAAAGTTGGGAATAAATCTGTCGTGGCAGTTGAAGATGAAAGAGGGGCTGAGACGGGTGGAACTCCTGTAATCGTTGCTGATGTCCCACTTACCTCGCCTGAACGTTCTTCTCCTGGCGCCGGTTGTTCGTCAGGTTTTTCACCTTCTCTCCTCGCCTCAGCATCGTGCTCAAAGGCTGCTGGGATACAAGTAAGCAGGACTTCTAAGACCCCCTCAAAGAGACAAGACGCAAGCGCGGAAACCAGTTGCAGCTTTATCCCAATTATACCACCGGAGCAGACAGGAGATCTACTCCCGGAAATACATGCTTCTGAGCCTGAGGAGGACGCGACGACCAGCTACGAGCCAGCTTCCAATAGAGTTCTTGTGGGCGGGGTGGATTCATCTGAGGTGAATATGAACAATCCGTTTCTTAGTGGAGGCACCATCGTCCAGGATGCGACTGGCGTCGATAAGGTAGGAGATGATAAGAGGACCATGGATGAACACGAAGGTAGCAGCATGCTGAACGTCGTTCCCGATATTAAAGCGGCTCCTGCGACTGCCTTTGCCGTCGCGACGGTTGAAGTTGTACCTGGGAACACCCCAGTAGCCGCAACGCCGTGTGTGAGTTCCGGAGAAGATACAAGTGCAGCTGTCGCGCGAAAAAATAATGTGGCTGACCCATTTTCTGGTTCAACTACTAGTTCCGCATCCGGTTTTACGACAGGGACAGGTTTCTTCAACACCGGTTTCGGCAACACCGGTTTCGGCAATCCTAGTAGTAAGGCGGTTTGTACAAGAACTTCTTCTAGTACTACTACGAGTAGACTTCTACACAACAATGGCCGCGACAAGCACAAGAATCCTCCAACACAAGATGAACCAGAGTTGTATTCTAAAGTTTCACTTCGGATGTACCTTAACGGGGAAGACTTGAGCAGATTTATCGGAAAGAGGGGGAGAAACATCCATCGGATTCGGCAAGGAGCACGGATTGACGTCCACACCGGCGATCGAGAGCCCAGAGGACGCTGCAAACGCGACGATTTTGATTCATCGAACAATAGGAATCAGCATAATAAAGTTAAGGATTGATAATTCCCCTAATTCATCTTCAGAAGCATCTTGGAGACATATGCCAGGGTGAAAAGAAATGGTCTCAGGATCATTTTCGAGATGGATTAGTGTGCTCGTGCTGAGTTCTAATAAAGTTGTAAGCTTCTGTGGGAAGATCGGAGGTGTCATTTCTGGACTTAAGAGCATCATCGAAACACAAACGATGGCACTCTCGATTCACGCAGATGATCACGAAGGAGGAGGAGGTGGAAGTTCGAAGAGTTGTCGTGCCAGGGGCGGTCAAGAAAAACCTTTTTTCCCAGCAGGAGAAGCCAGTCGTCACACTCACCCAGAACAAGGAGTAGGGCGTGGAGTACCACGGTTTTTCCAAGCAGGAGTCTCTTCGTCTGGAGAGACACCAAGAACTACGTCCAACTACTACGACGCGTCGGCATCTCCGGCTGCAGCCTCGTCGAGGACACCTGCAGGAACAAACCGGAGCTCGCGATTGAACTTTTCATCTGATAAGTATGGTGGTGGAACGCGTAACGGGGACAGATCTGTTGGCGGAGGTGGTACTACTACTAGCGAAGATCTTCACTACCAGAGCAGGAGAGACAGTAGAAAAAGCACGCCTGCTGCAGGTTCAACTTCAAACTATATTGCTTTTAAGAACGCTAGATGGGATTCTCAGTATCATGTAGGTCGTCAACGGGATCAACCGAACTACATTGAGGAACATCATCACCATCAGCAGTACCAGAATAAGGTAGGAAGCCCACTGCTAGGGAGAGGCGTAGCTGTTGCAGGGCAACTAGTGCCCGACGTCGATTCTGACGACAATTGCGACGAGCGTCGTGGAAAGATGAACCAGCAGAACGAGGATAGCAGAGGGAGCGAGGGAAGAAGGGAGGAGGGAAAGAGGCGGACCACAACCTCTAGATCGACTTCACCCAGAGACGCGAAAAACGAAGTAGATGATGACGCGGATCTTGTTGACATGATGCCACTGCCGCGGATAAACGAAGTAGATGATGACATGGATCTTGTTGTTAAGGCTCACAACAATTCATCTTAAGAAGCATCTTTGAGCCCTGTGTGTCTTAAGGGGAGACTACGTCAAACATGCACTCAAAGATGAATATATGCGAGATCTAATGTTGACATGATGCCACTGCCGCGTATTCGCAAGGCTGCTCCGCGAACGATTCATGTCCCTCTCGTGCGGCCCCCTCAGCAAAAGCAACGACCGTCCCGTTCGAGAAGCCGCAGTCAATCTATGCGACGAAGAGACGGATCGTCGAAAGGAGTAGAACAAGAACATGAAGAACCAAGCGACGATCAGGTGATAGCAAGACAGCGTCCTGTAGTTCCTCGCGGTCGGCAGAGCGGTCGTCAGAGTAGTACGACTACAACTACTAAGAATAGGAGTAGGACGATGAATGGTTACAACGGAGGTAACATCCAACGGAAAGATAGACCGAGCAGTCGTGGTCAGCAAGGAGATTCTCAACAACTCCAGCGCAATCATCTGAATCTTCCTTGCCGTCAGACTGAACATCAAGAAGAGCGAGACGGAGAAAAAAGTGGTCCTTCCTCAAGAGAGGACAAGTCTAGGTCTCCGAGTGTTATCGACAGGACAACAAGATTCTCAAGGACAAAAAATCATAGTGCGAACAAGCAGGAGGAGCATCATCGCATCAAGGTTCAACACATCAAGAACAGCAGGAGACAGTTCGAGTTTGAGAATGATGACGATGAAGAGTTGATCGAACTTCCACCTCGTCGCGGCCACCGGAGGAATCATAATAGAAGACATTCGCCGGATCGGCAAAAAGGTGATGGGAGTACTAAATCTTCGAATACTTCTACTTCATCTACAAATTATAACACGGAAAAAGAGAATCCAGTTGTAAAAAATAGCCATGTCCCTCTCGTCCCTTTTAAGGTGATGAACTCCACCAGCTCCATGAACGACAAGTTGGAGGAGAGAGAAGACCACGATACCACGACCAGCCAAAATTATAAGTTGACCACGAACAAGAGGAGACGTCGTGGAGATTCGCCAACGCCAACCTCTGCTGGTGCCGGAGATCCACGAGATCAACATGCTCCCTCCAAAGCTGCTAAGACCACTTCTAAGCATAAGAAAAAGCCGACTCGTGTGTACAACGCTGCGGCAGAAACGACCGACGCGGACTCGTCAAAGTTTCGCATCGTTGAGCTCCTATCCTGAAGCGTGTCTGGAACAAACTGTAGTTAGTTTCATTCAGAAGTAGGGGTACCACTCGACTAGGGAGGTTGCTTGTTCTTGATTAGAAGGTTCACAAGACGACCTACAGTCTATTCCTCTCTTCATTTTTAGACCATGTTTCTGCTCGATGATTCCTAGAGGTAAAATTTGATCTCACCAGTCTTCCAGACTCCCACGATCAATTATACCAACATAGATACCAAAAGACTTAATCGTAATCCACCTGTACAAATGGAAAATATGGCACTTTTGCGGGGTCCACGACCGATATACTACATAGTTCCTCCATACCAGATCCACATTAGCGTGTCTTTATTATACTCTAAAAAACTAATCATTCATTGTTCCCAGTCCCACCAGAATGATAGATGTATTCATTGACGAGGATTAATAGGGAACAGATTACTCCTAATACTGGAGAGTTATGTCTAACTAATTATCAAGTCTCCAGTTATTTTTGATCTTATTTCTTGATGGTTAATCTTCAGGAGCAATAAGAAGAATTATTAAGATTTAAGAAGATTCTTTCATTGGTCATTGGGGTTGATCTCTAACATTAAAGAGGAGACCGGCTGAGAGAACAGAGGAAAACTAAGGGAAAAGGGCGAAGCTCTGTAAGGGGCCTTGTCCCTTCAGCATCAGTGACCAGTGAATTTCGACCTTTAAAAGATACTGTATAACTCCCTGATCCAGAAACCAGAAATTAGATATTGTATAACTTTCCAAGTTTGTTGATTAAGCTGCATCAAAAACCTCGATTACATCATAGGTGTCTTAGCATAAGTGTCTTAACATGATGGCGCATCATTAATTAAACCCTTACGTCTTGTGTCCTGGTCTTTTAGATTTAGTAAAAAGTAGGGAGCTCAGTTGGACGAGTTAGCGTTACTCAGTTGGAGTTAGCGTTGCTTACTAACTTACTTATAAAATAATGATGTTTGATGGACTGAAATGGAGATGGTGAAATGTTTGACACACTGACTATTCAAGAGGTTTCAGTCACAAACTGATACTTCTATCAAAAGATGATTTATTGAAATAACATTGTCACCAGTTGTTCTACTTGTACGTCTGCCAACAACACCAGCTGATCTCTATTTTTCACTGAATATTTGGCGTCAATGGCCGAGTTGTATGGTCGTTAGGGATGCAGAATGATGCTCATGTTTATTGTATTTCAATCCAGGGCGTGGAACAGGAAGTGTTTCATCACTCCAAGGGCTGACCTAGCCTTCACGACTCATGATGACGGCACGCACCATCAGCAGGCTATGATCTAGCAGTATACACATAGAGACTGTCTGGAGCCATGGCTCCTGCAATCAAGCCAGAAATCTTCTAAGTACCTAGTTGTAAATGAAAAATATAAGGGAAATGGCAATGGCATCATGAGGCTGATTATTTTTATCTGATTTTTTTTTTCATGTCAGATGCTCGTACTGGGTGTGACATCTATTCATCCAGCGACTAAGACGACCTATCGTCCTGTCTTCCGGGGACGAATCGGCCGTCTAGATACATATTTATAGCGACTAAGACGACTAGTACCTTGATATTAGGTACCTACTGCTACTGCTACTAGCTACATAAAAAAAAAATAGTGACCATCCTATGATTTTGTTCTAGTCCCCTTCCATCCCTTCGTGTCTTAAATTAATCCCTTTCTTGTAATTCGTTGTCGTGTCTCTAGGGAGACCACAATCTTCATATTGAAATCTAACGAGTGAAACAGTCGATGGTCTGGCTCTGACATGATTCGTTCAAGAGAAACTACAGTACAATTAAGGACAAAGATTGTTTGAGATGAAATCTAACGATGTTTTTAGATATCTAGCTTGGATGTATTTGCTGGTCCTTCCCCCACATTGTAATGACATCGAAGTTGATGCTCATCTCTCTAGCATCCACACATCATCCATGATTTTTGGAAATTTCCCTACTTTCATTGTGTCTCGAAGACTAAGTACTCCTACTCCCCCTTGAAAATCTAAATCTAATACCGGAAGGTGTGTCGTGTCCCCTAACTTGAGATGTACAACCACCTTGTAGAATTATCCCACAAAGAATGCCTCTCAGGAGTCTCAACATGTAAGGACCATCCCCCAGGCTCAACATTATTCCCAAAAGACTCCCGCCGTGTATGATTCTAAACACACCTACATCATCGATTTCCACAGAATGGAGCTCGCATGCCAACATGGGGGTTTCACGACTTCGCACCCAAATGTGATGGTCAAAAGCACGCTTTCAGCTTTAGTCAGAGATCGATAATGTTTCTGCGGCGCGCTTTGCAACACAGAATCTGTTTTTTTCAGGATAATATCTGGATCCATATTAGTCAAGGCGTAACATGTACAATCACTCCCCGTACACTCACTCTGAATCTGTGCCTACCCATTTCGGTTGAAAGAGAGACGAAATGGTGCCCCAAGCCCAACCCCCTGTTCGTGTTTTACGGCGATGTTTTTCATTTTAATTTTATGCTTGTCTTTATTGTTTTGCAGCCGCATGAGGCACGGCCCCCACGCGTCTCTAGTCCTCCACCATGAATGTATATCTTTATGCATGAAGAGTAAGGTGATTAGACCAAAAAATCGTCTTCGCGTTTCATCATCTTTCACACCAAGTAGTACATTGTAAGTATTTGTAACTACTAGTACTAGATTAGGTGGTAATTGCCACCAGTTGTACGACCATCATGCTCTACCAGGAGGATTCCTTTATCGAAGAAGATGTTGCTGGCGCAGATGAGCAAGATCGGGATTTAGAGGCCGTGATTCGGAGATACAATCAAAATAAAGCGGCCGCAGCTCAAGGAGGAGGGGTCGTGGCATCATCATCATCTTCGAGTTCTTCTAGAGGCGGAGGAAGTAACAGTTACAATGTGAGGAAAAAGGGTCCTACGAGTGATCGACACGAGGATCGCGATCCTGAGAAGGATTACAACAACAAACAACCCCCGAGCAAAAAAGAGCTGGAGGAGAAGTTCAAAAAGAGTGACAGAGAGGTGGCGAGGACAGGAGCCACAGCATCTGCGTCGTCATCATCCTCTGGCGCGAACGATGCTAGGCGATTCATCCATGCCACTCCCTGCACAACCGCGGGTCCTGGCAGCACCACCACAGACGGCGTTACTACCACGCCAGGTGATCATCGCTCTTTCTACAGTCAACAACAGGTTGTGGGCGTGCTGGGCGTCGTTGGTAGCGCTGTCGCTGCTGGCGGTGCAGCAGCTTCTGCTCCCTCTGGTGCTCCCGTGCCCTTCCAAGCAAAGAGACGACCAAGCGAAAGTAGTGTTGCTACTGTGAAAGTGGGGCCGCCGATTTTGTTTTCGCCCGCCGATTCAGCAAGAGCAGACATAGTTGAAGGTCGTCATCAGCTGCAGGCTGCTCTTTCGGGCAGCAACAAGGGAATACGCCCAGCGTCTGCACGGCCTCCACCACCGACCACTCGAACGACATCCGCACCAAAGGCGAGACCCCCGTCCGCTAGGCCGGCGTCTGCGTCAGCGGGAACGACCGTTCCCGGAGGGGCCGCTCCCTCTTCTAGCAGTAAGGCATCTTGTTCCTCCTCTGTTGGAGCTGCACCAGCACGAGAAGCCGCACTTGACGATGTAGTGACCACGAAGAACACTCATTCTTCTAGAATGTATTCGAAGTTTCCTGCAGCTCCAACTACGTCGTCGTCGTCTTCGAATTCTGAATCTGAACCTCTACCGCCAAGTGTCGTCTCACTTCTCAACATGCGAAGGAGAGCGTCTATTCCTCTGTCAGAAGTGTCCAAGTCCGTCATTCTAGTCCCCGCCGAGCACGATGGCGAACTGAAGACTCCTCTGCAGATTGCATTCCAACGTCAAGTGGAAACTCTAGCGATCGAAAATCACTTGCTGAAAGGCATAGGCACAGGAGGAGGATCCGGGTCGAAGCAATCGCAGATGTTGATGCAGAAACTTCCACCAGACGTTTTAGAAAAGCGAGATTGGACGTCATTGTTCGATATCAAGACGTATTTTGATTTACGCGACTACGATCTGGAGCATATGCGAGACAACCGCCATGAACGACCGCCAGGCTCGCTGCGATGCTTTTACCTCTTCTACGCGAGGCTGTACGAGAAACTCGTACTTTTATTTCTGATGAAGATTATGTTATTTAGGCAATCTTGTAGTAGTAGTTGCTCTTACTCAACTACAAAAATTTTGAATTCGAGTTCTACGATTGTGCCTCTTCCTCGTAAATTTGATCATCAAACTCCACGTCGACCACCACGACAAGATCGCAAAGCAAGGCGGACGCGATGTCCCGTTTTTCAGCAACGTGCAAATTGAAGAGGAACATTCTGATGCTCTTTTTCCTACAAGAGTCGACCTATCCGATCGACGCTGCATCGGAATGCGAGAAATCTTAGACTTTTCTAGAGACATGGGCTTGCGACCTCACAAAGTCGGTATCAAGGACCTCGAGAGGTGTTACTTCGCAGCACATAGCATGGGGTTGGCGTGCAATAAGGCTGGAGAACAAGGAGACGGCGCTAGCATGCAACAAGATGACAACAGTCAAGCCTCGAGTAATGCCAGAGCAGCTCAAGAGGCAGCGTTTGTCACTTATCCTGGGCTTACCTATCACGAATTTCTGAAGTTTTTGGTTTATCTCACGGACGTCCTAGATGAGAACTCTGCGAAAGACAAGTACTTACCATGTTTGATCTTACGGACGTCCTAGATGAGAACTCTGCAACAGACAAGTAAGTGCTAACTTACCATGTAGTTTTGTTCTTGTATGTTGTGCAAGCTTGACTCAAGTCCAAAAAGAAAACATCAAGGAGTACCTTACCGTAACTACTAGTCTCAGCATGATCATATCTTCCCCTAAACTCATGCCAGGTTAGTCATGCGCGATGCCTCAGTGGGACGTGTGCAGCGCGTCAGGCGGTTGGCAAGCTATTTGCAGTGTCAGAATGTGAGGAAAGTGCGTCTGGTTTTGCAAGACGCTTGGCGCCAAACCCATTATTGGAAGCTAGAGGAGGATATGGACTTAACCAAATATGCGAAGTTATGTTCTGAGTAATGGAGATATAAGTACGATCAAAAAGAGTAGAAGGTGTAGGTCACGTCTTGCTCTTGTGTTTTGTAGTTTCTCGTTTCCAGTTTCGTCCCTGATCCTCATCACTGTTTAACATTAACTTTATCCAATACCCCACCCCTAACCCCTCTCTAACCACTACCCTCCAGCAGCAGTGCATTCCGAAGCAGCGAGTGAAACCTCTGTACAAGTACGCATCAGAACGGGATAAGCATATGGCACAGTGTCTGCATCAGTTAGAGCGTTTTACCTGGACTGGCGATGGCGCTCAGTGGGAAGCCTTTCCTTTACCCTACCTGGACATGGGTGTCTCGCGTATCGGCGAGCGCAAGAGTTTCAAAGTGGTTTTAACGAACAAATGCACACACTTGATGCGCTTAAGCGTTAGGCCAGATGAAGCGCTGGAGAAAGCAAGCTTACGTCTTCCAGTCGGTGACGAGATTGGGAAGGTCGGGTTGCCGATGGGTGCTAGTGCCAGCATCATTGTCGAGCCTTGGCCAGTGACTACTGGTGAATGGTGTGGCAACTTGCTATTAAAGGGTGAGACGAAAGCAGGCCAAACTGGAGAATGCAAACTACCAGTGTACATGAAATTCGTCATCGGAGGATCAATCGACAGTTCGTGTTTCCTGAACAACCGAAGCAAGACTGGAGCAAACGCCCACCCCTTAGAGGGTGGTCTTGCGGCGCAGCATTTGCGTGGACTAACACTGGGGAACACCAAAATCACGCAACTGTTGCTGCAACCTAGAAGAATGCTGGGGGATGGAGTGTCTGGGTCACTCCTCGCAGCACAGCATCTACTGCAGCAAGGTGGTAACCCGAATCCTGGAAGCAGCAACGTCAGTCAGAGTTTGCTGTCTCTGTCCAAGATTCTGAAGAGCAGTGAAGAAGAAATGCTTGCGAGCAGTAGCGCATCTGAGGATGAGGATGCTGGTCACGGACCACATGGAGGAGGAGGCTTGAACAAGGTAGTTGTGAACAACTACATGTTGTCCGGTGGAGGGGTGGAGAAAGACAATTCAGTCTCAGTAGCAATTAATCCTGGTCGTGTGACCAGCAATCATCTTTCCCATCGTGGTCCGTTTCAGCTGCAGCCACCCAGTTGCAGTGACAGTATCGCTGCCCCAGAACGATTCGTCAGGCATGTAGTGCAAAAACTGGCCAGCAGACCGCAGTCGGCTACAGACCCTGCTTCAGCCCCTAAGAAAAGCCGCGACTTCGTGGACTATGCAAGTCGACAGCAGAGTCCTCGGAGTCGATCGAGGTTGTTGCGTGATGATGTTGATGAACAGAGCATGAATCAAGGAGTGGGAGGTGTGGAAAGCAACCACTATGCGAGTGTCGACGTTTTTGTCGACCAAAGTGCTAGACCAGCGAGAGGGGGGTCTCGAGGAAGGAGCGCGTCCGTCAGCTACATTATGAACTACAACAAGAGAGCATTAGATTTGATTTTCTTTCTCTAAAAGCATGTAGTGTGCTGATAGCGTTAGTAGACCCATACTAGGGACAGAATGGTGACAGCACAAGAACTAGGACTTTGTTAGATGGCTTTCATTTCGGAAGAGACGCTCTTCGGTGGTCATAGTGCTGCGAGACGGAGGAAACATTTCGACAATGACGCGCAGCATGGAGGAATCTACAATGATGCGGATAGCAGTAGCGATGGCGAGGCTTCGGCTACGAGTGCGAACAACAACAAGCAATCAGGATCACAACAACAGGGAACCCACAACAAAAATACAACAGCGAGAACAAACATCAGAAATGCACCAGCTCCTGTAACACCTGGAGCTCTGCCTCGTACTGTCGATGTCACCAAATTGACAGTGGTTCCTCCATTGGCGACTCCTACGACTAGTTCATCTGGTAACACCAGATACAACAGACTCGATCAATTCAAAGACGTGGAGAATCGTCCTCCAAATGACAATCAGGCAGAGGACAACCCCAATCTCTTCTCCTCGAAAATGAGTTCTCAACTTCAAGGAGCAGGAGTCGCTGGGCGACCTGTGGACTACTCTTTATGATGAAACACTTCTAACTAAAACACTACTAGCCAAAAGTAGAGCACAGAGGTACCATGACATGACATGACAAAGCAATTGGGTTGGATGAAACATAATTAGCAAAACACGAGCAAGGTCCACCAATATGAGTGGGGGTTACAAAGGGGTGTGACTAGTTCTATGTAAAAAAAAAAAACTACACAGATCTTTTGTGAGAACGAGTGGGTGAATGAGTGGATGAATGAATGAGTCAACTTCTACACTCCTTCCTACTTGAAGTTGCCACGGGAGTGGTGCTCGCTGGACTTTCCTCACCTCGTCAGATCTCTAACAACCGCCGTCATGGTGCGAGATATCGACCCAACTAAGCGACTACCGTATTTTGCACCGAAGCCTTTCGTGGAGAGGAAAAATAAGGGGAATTTGAGCCACATCCAGTTCGATCCGCGTTCACAGCACAACATGGCACCAAGGACAGCGAGGCTGTATCCTGGGAAGACGAACTTGTAATCGACGACTACTGGAGAAAGAGAATAATCGGCGGGACTGGGACGTTGTTGTACTGTTGATTTACATTTAAGTGATCTGAATTGTTTAGAAACCTTAATGAACAATCAATGTCACCGACCGTGACCACTATCGATGACAAAGTGTGAGCCCTGGATCTGGGTATAGATGTCATCAGTTTGTAGAAGCGTTTCTTTCCTTGCAGCTACTTAATATACGTATTTTCACCACATCAGTCATGCAATGCATTTTCACGAGGTCGTTTCCTAACGAACAGTCATAAGAAGTTGAATTCCACGTCCGCCACAAAGAAACTCGATCTCGAATAATGCATAGATACCATCGATCGATAGCACACTGAGACAGTTGAGTCATTTTCTTCCGCCTAGTACAGTAATAAGATATATAAATATGCCATTGTTACAATCAAATGTTACAGCGCTTCTTCCTACAGTAAATAATGAAGATGATGAACTCTTACTCTATTTGCGACACGCATGATAAATCGCCCAACGAAGAAGGATCAACATAATCATGAATCACAACATCAACATGTTTTTGTTTCCACCCCCATCAATCCATATTGGATATTTTCCAATGTCAAAAAGATACTTCTAGTTGTAGGAATGATGTAGTTCTCTCTCGTCACAAGGGCTTCGACGTCGATGAACACTGGAATTTGGGAACATTGAGAGAGAGATTGAAGATGAGAGGTCATTGGTTGGCTCAACTTGAAAGCACCAGAGAGAGGGTGAAGAGAAAGCAAGCTAAAAATCGAACTGACAAGGCTATGCATGGGTCACAAAGCCCAGAAGTTGTCTGCTTTTGTCACAAAGTTGCAAAATGTTTGGCTCAACTAGTACAAAAACTGGCCATGCATCTACACCTGGTCACGACAAGGAAATCCGAAACCCCTGCTCAAATCCAACTCCTAGAACAATACAGTTCTTTGTTACCGATGCATCCACTTGCAACAAGTATACTACAAGAAAAATTTCCGCGATGAGTGACTCCTCTATGTTGACCTCTATGTACAAATCCGGTTCAACATCATCCTCTTCGTCCTCAAGTAGCAGAGCGGGTGGAAAGATGTTGAAGAGACTAGCAGCTGCTTTCCTGTGTGCAACACCATTGCAGGTTGCCGGCTTAGAAGCACACTCACAACAGCATCAGAAAGCGACAATTGAAGCTGGTACTCTTGTTCAACGTGGTCTTTGGAGTTCTTAAGAATTATATAGATACATAGTTCTAGTTGTTCCTCTTTGGTCAAAAATCATGTCTTCAGCAAATAAGAAAATGAAAATCTAATTTTTATTGAACAACTTTCATGTTCAACCTCATCAGTTGTGTCCATGATGATCATCACCTTGACAATTGATTATGATTTTGATATTCTACCATCTTCCTCTCTATCAGATGGATCGACGAAGCATCACCGTGAAGTTGCAAGCGAAGGACGAGGGTCTATGATGAGGCACGAGCGCTTGCCTGCGTCGTCGGAAGGTTTAATCTTTGTCTTGTTTTTGTAGTAGTTCACACAATTTTTGCTTAACAGGGTAATCATGTAGAAGAAGAAGAAGTTTCGTCTTGTCAATGATCTTGCACAATAACCAAAGACGCAATGATCATGAATCGATGATCGCATCACAATCAGGTCTCGTCCAGAAACGCGCTGTCCACAAGCATGGTAAAAGACCGTATACTGATTCGCTTGTAGCTGTAAATTATGGTCGTGCTGGCGCTCTAGTTCTCTTCAATACTATGATCATCTTCTCGCCGAGTCATGCAGCTATCGGCTTCGGCAACCTAGGTTAATCCTAACAATTTCCGGTAGTACATCAAATCAGTGGTATATTTTTAATAAATTTATATTATTCGCAACTTCGTTGTTCTTGTACATATTTATTGTACAAATTATATTGACCCTGGTCTATCTCTAATCCTGAAGAGACGACTCAGACGCTGATCCGCCCTCGACCACTGCTGAGCCCTCGACCACTGCTGAGCCCTCGACCACTGCTGAGCCCTCGACCACTGCTGAGCCCTCGACCACAGACGCACCAGCAGATAATACCACGACCGACGCACCAGCAGATGAAGATACCACCACTCCCGCACCATCTAATAGCAGTGATGATCTACCCAAGATTGCAGAAGAGATTGAAGAAGGTACTTAAAGACATGAAGATATTCTGGTGGTGCGTCATCTTCTAGTCCATATCCTATTCTTAGAAGACTTGTACATATCATGACTATACTAGACCACTACATATCATGATTCTGGTGATTTCGCCGCGTCCTTCAGTTTCCAACGGCAACGGAACAGTGGTTGTGATTATCATTGTGGCCGCCATTTTGCTGGTAGGCGTAGGTGCAGGCATTGCGGTGATGAAAACCACTGAGCCAGCAGATGGCGACGACGGTGAAGGCGAAGGAGGTGAAGGTTATGACCCGTCTCGATGTGACAATGGTACCTGAAGAAATTGGATTCATTATAATATAATAAGATGAACCTAGGACTTTCTAAGACCAATATTTCAATGGAGTGAGAATGTAGTGAGGACTTCCGTCAAGTCTCTGAGGCGGCGAGCGTCAACTTCGTGGTGTTGTTGCAGTACCTTCTAAGTCATCATAATAAAAATAATCAGATGTCACCTCATCTTAATGTGCTAGCACAAGACATTTAATCTACTCGAACCGCGTGTGTGGTGGACCCTTAACCTTAGCCTTTATAACTTTAACATAATCCTGCTAAACCACCCTAGACGACCCTAACCTCACGCTCACCATAGCTAGGACTAGTAGTGGTACAAGACTAGATTCATAGTTCTTTGGTTACCAGGTTAGTCTGGGGTCCACCTATAGCACCACAGATGGACGTATGTGACTACAAGTTACATTCTTCACACTCATCACATGTTGCATACTTCTCCATGGACAGGACTTTCTTGCTCTAACACAAAGCGGAGTACGGTGAGGGCGAGGCTGAGGGAGGAGAATATGCCGAAGGTGAGGAGGCGTATGGTGAGGGTGAAGGATATTAGAATCTAGAACTAGATCTAGAAGTAGGAGGAAAAATAGAAGGAATAAGTACTTAGAAGGACTATAATTCATATTAAGTAGAACGAAAAGCATTTTTTGGTGGAAGGGTCGGTGCTGGTAATATTGTTGTAGGAGAAGACTTTCTTGTTGATACAGATGACTGTGACAGAAAACTCGAAGCAGGAGAAGGAGGAGCATAGGAATGAACTTCACCGACCATTTCGTCTAGGAGAAGTGTTCTTGAAATAGTTACATGTTACAGAATGTGGTGGTAGAAGAAGAGGAGGTATACTATTTTTACGTCGTGCTCGTGTCGCTATCCTCGAAAATCGTTAGGACTAAACGCAGATAGAGATACGATACCATCAAATATCTATAGCGAAAATGAACAATTGAATATTTATCAGCTTCTACTGGCTCTCGACGCGGATCTACTCGCTGTTATAGATAAAGTTTTGATCGTGATAATGCCCTTTTTCAATACCTACTCATCAATGTTTCAGAAAAGTTCGATTGTCTACAACTAGTAGAAGTCGTGTGCTACTAGTACTACAACTTATTTTTACAGCAAGAATGTAATGGCCAGTCTTAAAAAAGTAGAGTGCTCAATCATTTTTCTCATCGTTCACATTCACAACACTCATCAGGTTGAAATACTTCGTCTAGAAGTAGCTGTTCCAAGAAATTGAATTCAAGTTTCGAATGTCCTAAATCATTACAGAATACAGTCATTTCAGTTTCTTTTGGTGAACTTCTTTCCTCGCGTTCGTTGTAGTAACTAGACAACTTAGATAGTCAAAGTCAATATAATGAGTAGTTGCAACAACAACACCGATTCTATTAGAATCAAATGTCGTAGAAGTTTTTCTTTTTTGATCGACAAGCACAGGAAACGTCAGCTATTTCACTACAAAATCGTTCGAACGAAATAATGAACACGCTAATGCATCAATCACAGTTTCTATCTACTTACTTTTCTTGTCCCATAATTCTAGAAGTGCTGTCCCAGCATTTTTCTGCTTTCTTGCGATCGCAGCTGGTGTCGAAGAAGCACGAAAAATCCCATCAAGCTACTGATTTAGTGGTAGGTCTGCAACACCTTCTCGGATTAATCATGCTTGTGGTCATGTGCCTTTGTCGGTATTGCTTGTTGTATCATAAGACGAGGAATCTGCTTCGATCGGTCGATTTTCATCAAGAATGTGTGGCATCCAATCGGTAAAGAAGCTGCTCCATTCCAATCCCAATCGGTTCGCCAAGCTCCCTCAGATCGATGTAGTGTATCCGTACTGCTCTTCACCCGCTGGGAAAAAGATGCATCCCTCCGCTACTACAACAACTAATGAAAACTATACCAGAGTTTTGATAATTCGTTTCAGATGACCAAGCATCGTCCGTCTGCTCTCAAACCCAACAAAGTCATAGTTCTTTCAAGGATAGGTAACAATAGACAACAATCGAACACCTACTTTTTCGTCAAAGAAGGACGTCACACAATTATCTTCGACAAAACAAGCTTCACCAAGCATTGCTCGAGAACCTCACAAGCAAAACAATACAATGCTGCATCTATTCGCATTCCTCCTCATGCCAGTGGCATGCGTCCTTGGCGTACCGCGAAGCATCGAGAATTCGAGAGCGCAAGGAAAATTATGGCAGCTAATACAACTAGAAGCCTTCGTTCTAGTAGAAGGGCATCTCGTCAACATTGTGGAGTATCATCCTTACTTCTTCTAGAATTCTGACTGCATTCGTTTTTCATCAGCATGTATAAGTAAGAATAAGAACAAAGTTCTTGATCCGCCCACTTCTTTTCGTGTTCGTCTTCCACACAGACATTCGCATCTCCCGCATCCTCCTCTACTTGTGTCTTCTCGAATCAACAACGCACCCGCAGCAAACCATGTGTACAAGAAGGACAAGGGAGTGCGTTCAATGGTCATCCAGAGTGACGGGTCGATTAGCTTTGCCGAACAACCTGCAGAGAGTTTTTTGGCGCCGATGAATATTGTTGGAGAGGTGCTCAGCGACCAGTGCGACGAAGACTACATGAAAGCCGTCAATATGCACCAGAAGCTGGTACTTCAGTCTTTTTCTGTACATCTAGATCGCCGCGTATAGTACTAGCTTGGAGCGTCCGATAACATCCCTCCCACTAGGATCCTCCTCCTCCCCAAAATAAGAAAATAAACAAAGCAAAGATGTAAGCGATATGCGTTGCCAAATTTCGAAAATTTTCCACGTTTTGCCATCGTTTGCGGATTGGGTCTCGTGCGTTTGAAGTCAAGCGCTAAGATCCCAAAACTTTTGGACTTTAAGCCCTTCCGCTGAAATTCAGCTTCGTGCTTGGATTTGCATTCTTCAAATTTCGAAAATTCTCCACGTTTTGCTGTCGTTTTGGGATTGAATTTCGTGCGTTTGAAGCGCTAAACTCCCAAAATTTTTGATTTTAAGCCCTCTCCCTGG